ATGTCAGTTGATAACCACATCTCGAGTGATCTAGTCACGAGCATGGGTTCACATGCGGGAACCATGCTTTGAGAATACTTCAAACTCACATCTCCATCTAGACACCCAAACCAGCCCCGTGACCACCTCACTGAAAAGTCACCCACGTCGTCTTACCCCCGAACGTATGCTTAATGATCACCCACCGATCAACCGCTACATTGTCGATAAACAGACCCGGTACACGAGTCCCATGCCACCCATACCAATTATACTGCACATCTCCAAGAACCCCTCGCGGCCAGGCCGACGACCATAGTTCTTCATAGCGAACGTGTTCGGGGGTTTCTCCAGGTACCTGTCTCGCTATCTGTGTTTCACCAGAGAAATGTCCAGGGTTGAGCGAGACATATATGCCAGGGAGAATCATAGGCGCGTATAACTCTTGTGCCGCTTGGATGAGATGCGAGCTTTGGTTGTTGAGCCGCGTTTTCAGGTTGTTGAGCTGCGTTTCGAGGTTGGCGAGTTGGGCGTCCCGCACTGTGAGCTGCGCGTTGACGTTGTTGAGGGCGGCCTTGAGTGCTGGTACTGTTGGCATGGTACTGTAGACTATTAAGGAGAAGGGGGAAAGGGTATTTTGGGTCTTTGGTATTAGTCGTGGTGATGCTGCGGGAAGTGATGGGTTGAGGGGCACAGGGATGAAGAATGGGGGTTTATTGTACTGACGATTGATAGTTATAGTATCTGCGTCATGGCAGATGACATCCGGATCGTGATCTGACAGCATGCACTTTTGGAAAGCACAAGACCTGCGCATGGATTCAATCATCACCCGCTACCATCCACTCGTCTCACCCATCTCCCCATCTGCACACACATCCATAGCACCCCCCTACCCAGCCGGCTGGTCACCCCTCGCTTCAAAGCTCATCCACGTCCTAATCCCCTCCAAAGTAGTATGGCAAATCAGCACCTTCCTATCAACCTCCTCCCGATCCACAAACAGCCCCGGCAACCGTATCCCATGTCTCCCATGCATGTTCTTGTCTCCACGGCGCGACATAATCCCAAGGTCGTCGCCCTAGGTCGACCACTGGATCTTGTACTGCGTTTCACCCGGCAGCTTGATTTGTACTTGGACTTGGCCTGAGAAGGCACTGGGGTCGAGCGAGACGTAGATACCGCGGAACGGGGTTATCGCATACATTTCTGTTGTTGCGCCGTAGAGTCGGGCGTCGCTGTCCCGGAGCGACGTTTTGAGATCATCGACTCCTCTCGTTGCGGCGTGGAGTCGAGCGTCGCTGTCCCGGAGCGACGTTTTGAGATCATTGACTTCTTTCGTTGCGGCGTAGAGCCGGGGGTTGCTGTCTCGGAGTGACTCAGTGTGATCGTGGATCATTTTTTGTAGTTGAGATCTGTATGACGGATGCGGAGGCATGATGTGGTTGGGTGATGAGGTGGATGGAGAGGGGTGGTAGTGGTGATGGTAAGAGATCTGAGTGGGTTGAGATGGGTGAGAAGAGCGCGTTTCGTTGTATAGATGGATGGAAGTAATGGGAGTAAGTGGGTCTGCGGTACGTTGATTGATGGGGCTTGTGTGGTGTGATGGCTTGATGTTGGGGTGCATGAGACGTGCGCATCGGCGAGGACGCAGCTGCTGGAAGGTGATGTCTTTGCAAGGAAGGTGGGTCTGGGAATGTTGACGAGCGACTTCCGTGAAAATGGTGGATGGTAAGTGCGCAGTGAACATCAAATCAGCGCTTCGCTTGAACAGCGGAGAAAGATGACAGTTTCACTTCTTCTCACTCCGACCGGCTGAAGTAGACAGCTTCTAGTATCAATGTTCGGCGCCTGCTACTACACCCTCAGCTTATCCTTCTCACCATTCGCAAAGGTACCCCACAGGCTATCAAATCTCTTCCCCAAACTCCGTCCCCTACCCAGGTCACCTCACAAGGTCCTGATCTGTATGATCTTCAATGCTCACCACCGTCTTCTTCATCCCCACCGCGAATGGTGTCCAAGTTACAATAATCGGCGTCTCCACTTCTCCCGGTGCAACAAACACACCAGGCAGCCGCACACCCACCCTTCCGTGCATGTTCACCATGTCTTCTGGTCTGTGTCCTGCATACGCCGAGTTCGACAACTGTATCGGGTAGGGAGGGGTATAGGGCTTAAGCTCTCCGTTTTCTGATCGTGCTAGCCGCTCAACCGTCATAGAGATGGTGCCGTTGAGTGTATCTCTGTTGGGGGAGACGTACACGCCGCGGATGTGGATGGGGAAGTATAGTTCTTTTGTGACAACTCTTAGATGAGCGGTGAGTTCGTCGATTCGATTTTCCAGGTCGACTATGCGCGGTCGGGGCATGGTGGGATGAGCGGATGAGTGGACAAGTGGATAAGTGGATAATTTGGTGAGAAGTGATGGATGGTATGTTTGGAAGGCGGGAGTCCCAAGGTTGGAAGCGGACTTTCATGGCTAGGAAAGGTGGAAGGGGCGTTTTGCTAATAAGCGGGTAGTGGTCACTGGGTTTGCGCTGAGTCAAACGACGAGCTTTCTATACAATAACTACGAGAATGATCTCACGTTCGCAAACTGTTTGAGAGATCGATCTAGAAAACAATAACTGAACTTGTCTTTGGAAGGAAGGTGAATCTGAGAACATGTTTATGAGCGACTTCCGTGAGAGATGGCGAAAGGTAAGTGCGCAGTGAATCCAACTACAACATCCCCTACTGCAAGAATACAACGCCTACTACCAACCTCTCAACACATCTGAACCATGACAAACCCATCTTCCTCCGCCTCATCCCTCTCCTGTTGACCTTCTTTACCCACGGGCTGAATCTGTATAATCGTCCTCGTCCCTCCCTCCAGCGTCCAAACGACCACCAGTGGCTTCTCCACCTCTTCACTCGCAACGAAGATGCCAGGAACACGTGCACCGGGTTTCCCATAGCAGTTGACGGTTTTAGCAGCGGCATCTTTCAAGGTTGGTATGGTGACCCCATCGTCACAGGCCTTTCTTGTTTCGTCCCAGGACGATGACCACTCGACTTGAAGGTTGTTCGCTCCAGGTTGGCGTATCGCGATTTTTATGTGGACGGGGAGGGATTTTATGGGACGGGAAGTGTACAAGCCGCGGATTCTGGTGGGGAGGTAGAGTTCTTGAGCTGCGGCATCTGGTTCGGCCTGAGGATTCGTTTTTGATAACTTTACCCAGGATGACATAGTGAAGCAGTGGCTGGTTCTTGGTAGTCTGGTACTCTTGGGTGATGTGATCTCACGCAGACGAAGGGAAAGCACTTGGATTTATCGTAAATGCTAATTGCTAAACATCACTGAGCTTGCTCTGCCTGGGTATATCAAACAAGAAGTGGTCGTGTGATGTATGCCCATAGCCAATCTTTTGCAGACTATCCCAAGGAACAGACTTGGCAGTACCGTCATACCCCGTTCACGTCTACTAGTTGCGCCCCTGCGCAATCACGTCCTTGATCTCTTCACAAAATCCATCCAAGTCTCTAGACGAGAGTCGGCCTTATCATTTTGCCCGCTATTGCCTTTCCCTTCCTCCTTTCGAACGCCATTCTCAACGCTTCCGCTTTTCTCGTCATCTTTTCCATCGTTCTCGCGTTTCTTAGGCGGTGCCCGACCTGCTTCGCGCGGCTCCATCCTCGCTTTCCCATCCTTGGCAGGCGTTGAGGTCGACATGTTCTTAAAGCTTTACTGGGTATGGGGCGTGTTTCTTTAGTGTATGAGCTTAGGTAAGTGTTTGCTCGTGGATGAAAAGCCGAGAAGAGGTATACGATGCGCGTTTAAGAGAGCAGACGTGTGCTTTAAAGAGAGTCTGGGGGTTTGCGAGTGATACCGCGATTTCATAACGCAGAGATGATCGCGAAAACAATCAGTCAGTTTCTATTATCGGGGTACAGTCTTCGTGTAAACGCGACATGTAGTCTGTCGATTTCATTCCATGGAAGATCTCGTAGGTCTTAGACCACCTCGGAGAGGCTTGCAGCAAAGGTGAAGACGTAGCGTCGATGTAGCCGTCACGGTGTTTAGATATTCTCCCTCACGAACACGGTGATACCTTTTGCTTTAACATTGATGAGATAAGGAGATGCGATGCCGTACGACCCGGCAGGTGGTGATGTGGGCGTACCTAGGTACCTGGGTAAGCTTAAATCTCCGGGCGATGCAACGAGATGCACTCGTTCTGTCCACACTGCCGCGCTGCCCAGATATTCCACGAACGCGCGCATATCAAGCCACAGATAAGCGCGAGCACCATATTGTCCCTCGCCCCAACAAGCTCCTCGTAAAAACGTCGCTGGGTCATTCACAATGCCGTCAACCGGGTTGGCGGCGGGGTACATGCAGCATTCTCTCGAGGTCCGGAACGCGTATCCACTCCCTCACCTTCCAAAAGCAAGTCAAGCACGCCCAAGAGCAGCTAACACGCCGTCGGACCCAACAGCTAGTGGCTTGACTTTGCTTGTTTATCGCGGCGCACGATGATGTCGAAGTTTTGTAGCTGCCTAATCCAGCGTTAGCGCGGCCGTTTCCGGGGCTAGAGCAGTTCCCGTTCAAATGCCCTTGCTATCATGCCAACTTCACACCCCGCCTTTGTGAACATCGCTATTTGCGTTATCACACACCTCGAACGAATCACGATGCGTGATGGACAGGCCGACTGTTCTTTTCGCCAGCTTGGCAACGCTGAGCTTGTCGCGATGAAGAGATTGTCTAGCCTGGCTTGTACCGCACGCGATAGCAATCCAGTCAAGGCTGTTCCGACGATACGGCGATCGACATGCATGTACTATGCGCTTTACTATCGTCCTTCCAGATGGGGCGCCCTGCCCTAGGGTCGCCAAGGTACCATGAAGCTGTATGACGCGAGTCTGGGCGGAGCTTCGCAGGAGCTTAAATAGCTGGCAAGGCTTGCTTGGTGGGACTGGGCGTGCGCGTGTTGTCTGCATCTGTTTCTGAGACGCCTATACCAATTGCTACAATGCAGATCTTCGCGACGGTTGTGTTGGCTGCTGTTGCCGCGCGGGATGCGCTGGCTTCGCCGATTCAGGCTCGCTCGCCGTATGTGGTTAAGGAGACGCATTATGCGCCGAGGGAGTGGACGAAGCTTGAGAGGTCGCATGGCGGGAAGACGATCCAGCTGCAGATTGGTCTTAAGCAGGGGAGGTTTGAGGAGCTTGATCGCCATCTTCATGAAGGTATGTTTTTTGATTCAAAGGTATGCGGCGGCATCTGAGCTAACGACGTGTAGTCTCTGACCCTGACCATGCCCGCTACGGTCAGCATCTGAGTGCCGACGAGGTCGATGAACTCGTTGCACCCAGCTCTGAGACTCACGACTTGGTGCACGAGTGGCTCGCCGAGAGCGGAATCGACACCAGCAACCTTGGCTACAGCTCGGCCAAGGACTGGGTCATCGTCCATCTTCCCATTGAGATGGTCGAGAGTCTGCTCGACACCGAATACCACAACTACAAGCACAAGGATGGCTCTGTCGTTGCGCGTACCACAGCCTGGTCTCTCCCACGCCACCTCCACGCTCACATCGACACCGTCCAGCCCACTACATCCTTCTTCCGCGGCGCAGCCCACGCCGCGACATTCGTCGACGAGGCTGTCGAGGTACCCAAGAGCTACCACACACCCCAGAACTCGTCCATCTCTGCCGTGTGCAACGTAACATCCGTCACCCCAGAATGCTTCCAAACCCTCTACAAGACCAAGTGGTACCACACCAAAGCCAGCCGCAAGAACAGCATCGGCTTCACAAACTACCTCGGCGAAATCCCCATCCGCCCAGACACCAAAATGTTCCTCGAGAAGTACCGCCCAGAAGCCGTCTCGCAAGCCTACGCCTTCAAGCAAATCTCCATCGACGCCGGCCCCGTCCAAGACGGCCCCCTGACCTACAACCAATCCACCGTCGAAGGAATCAGCCGCGAAGCCAATCTAGACGTGCAAGCCATTTCCGGAATAAGCTGGAAAACACCCATAACCTCCTACTCGACCGGCGGCCAACCCCCCTTCGTCCCCGATATCTCCACCCCCACAAACACAAACGAACCCTACCTCGCCTGGGTAAACTGGCTCCTAACCCAACGCTCCATCCCGCGCATCATCTCGACCTCCTACGGCGAGCCCGAGCAAACCATCCCCAAAAGCTACGCCGAGCGCGTATGCCGGCAATTCGCCCAAGTGGGCGCTCGCGGCACTACCCTCTTCTTCTCGTCTGGCGACCGCGGTCTCGGTGGCACGGATACCTGCTACACCAACGACGGCAAGAACACGTATCAGTTCCAGCCCGCGTTCCCGGCGTCTTGCCCGTATGTCACGACTGTTGGTGCTACCATGAACTTCGAGCCTGAGGAATCTGCTTACCGCCCGAGCCGCAATACGACGGCTGGGTTCCGCGATTTGTACAGCAGTGGCAGTGGGTTTAGCAATTACTTTGCGCGCCCCTGGTACCAAGACAAAGTCGTTCCCGCATACGTGGCGTCACTCAACTCCACCTACGAAGGGTTGTACAACAAGACCGGGCGCGGCTACCCCGATCTCGCGGCCCAGGGTCTGTATTTCGCGTATTTCTGGAACGGAACCGAGGGAACGATTTCTGGTACTTCTGCTTCTTGCCCCTTGACAGGTGGTATCTTTGCGCTTGTCAACGATGCGCTCCTGGCGGCTGGGAAGCCTGCGTTGGGTTTCATGAACCCGTGGTTGTATAAGAAGGGATACAAGGGCTTGACTGATATCACCAAGGGATTCAGCAGGGGTTGCAACGTTGAGGGCTTCCCGGTTACCGAAGGTTGGGACCCGGTTACTGGGTTCGGTACTCCGAATTTCCCTAAGCTTGTTAAGTTGGCGGGCGCGGATTGTGGGTATTAGGTCGAAGATGAATGTGGTAAGGCGTGTAAAACCTATTGGTAAAGAATGGGTTCACGCGAATGAAGTAATGTTGCGTAGTAACTTATTGTTGAGTATCATGTCGTGTATCGTACAGTGATCATATCGCAATCCGTAATCGCGTGCTCCTCCTTGCATCCCGTCCACGCCCCAACGCCGCGGTAATTGACCAAGGCATCGCTCACAAGGCAGCTGGGGTTACTTTTTCCTATTAGAAACTGTTATGGAACCAATAAATGACTTTCTTCAAAGCCACTTTTTGGTTACATAACAGTTTCTAGCAAGAAAAAGTAACCCCAGCTACCTTGCAAACCCCGGTGATCTAGAATACCTCAATGTTAATCGGGCACCGATCCGCCGTACCAACTGGCGTAGTCCCCTCCCCTCCATCTCTTCTTGTACCGTTTCCCGTTACTCCGCACCGTTCGAAGTAGCGACATCGGGGTTGGGATAGTACCACGCTGCTACAGCTACGATAACGTAGACAATCTGTTTTGAATCGTTAGCAAAAGCGTCCTGTCACCAGTACTCAGACGAGCATAGACTTACGATAAGCATAGCCCCCTCTAAATAATTCGACTCTCCGTCCCTCAAAAAGTTGCCAACAACAACAATAGCCAACACCAACAGCACAATCATGAAAATCTCAAAGTTGAGATCCATGTCCTTGCCCATTGCCCAGCCGACGAGAACCACAAGCGGGGCGTTGAAGAGTGCGGTCTGGATGCTCGGGCCGATGCAATGGAAAAGCGCAAAGTTAATCTGGCCGTCCCATGCCTCATCGATGGCAGTGAGGTGCTCGGCGGCTTTCTCAACAAGCGGGAGCATGATGAGACCGAGGAACTGGTCTGGCACGCCATTCTCGACTACGTCTTCGATGCGCTCAACGAGGAAGACGGCGAGGAGCGTTACGATGGCCAGAGAGAGGATGAGCGCGACAACGCATTCCGTGAATGTGAACTTGGGCTTCGCAAGATCTTCATGGTGATCCAGATCAGCGTGCTCGTCCGCCTCGAGAACTTCATCGAAGAGCGAGTGTTGAGAGCGCGCGTTGTACCAGATGAAGATGCAGAAAGCGATGATGAGGAGGATCGACGTCACCTGACTGATTCTCAAGACGTTATGCTGAAGGATCTTCTCGGTGAACTCGTGGTGCTTGGTCGCTTTTGCGACGGCGGAGCCTTTGAGCGCGGAGTAGTAGGCTGAGGGGATGAGCAGACCGAAGCCGGCTACGAGGAGGAGGCCGGAGCCTACTTCGCTGATGGAGGCGTGGAATTTTTGCGACATTTGGCGGAGGCCGCCTACGAAGAAACAGCTAGATCCGCGTTAATACACGTGATGAATGATGTGTCCGCAAAGCACTTACAGTCCAAGGCAAAGCAGCAAGTTGGTGATGATGGAACCCAAAATTGCAGCCTGGATAACAGGAATGAGATTCCCATGTTCACTCGACCCATCCTGAGAATGGTGCTTGGCAATCAAGATGATGAAGAGAATAATCTCTACAATCGAACCAAACGCAGTCTCAATCAGGATACCAGACACCTTCGGCATCTTCCTCGCAAATTCCTGTCCCGCGAAACCCAGAAGATTGGCCACCGGCACCATGGCAATGTAGCTAGTCGCGAAGATAGCAATCGGCATGCCCGGTGCCGCAAAATGCAGTACGATGGCTACAATGACGAACGGCCAGAGAAGGTTTGTGTATTTCGCGGCATTGCTGCCGGATCGCCAGGCTACGTTGATGAAGTGCGATGGGTGGAAGCCTTTGCGCCCGCTTTCGCCATCGGGGTGGATGTGCGAGGGGATGATGTTGTGCAGCAGAGGTGTAGATTCGGAATCATTGTTTGACCGGCTGTTGAAATGGTCGGACAGGACGCGCGAGACGTTGTGCGAATTGTCGTGGCCGTGGCGGGCGGACGACATGCTGATGGTACCTGGTGGGAGGATTCCGGATATTCGGGAGTGAGGGCAGCTGTGGTTGGCCGAGGGCCCTGGAGCTCTGTGCAGCTCTTGATTGGCTCCCCACGGTAAGGTGACGGGCGGGAAGCTTAAGAGAGAGCGTAGCAGACCTCGCGAACAGAGATGCGAGATGCGATTGATGCTTCTTCCTGCGCAGGGCAGTTGGGATGGAGGAGCTGAGGAGCTGAGGTACGAGGTTTTGCGGAGAAAGCGGTGACGCGATTCGCGACTGCCCAGACGCGGCTGGGGCTGGGCATTGGCTGAAAAACAAGGCAGGATCGTCGCGGTTGGACGACGTGTCAACCTTCTCCAGCTTCAGCCTCCATGATCGACGAGGTTACACGTCGCGATATGTTATTGCAAGGAACCCGCATTTCTTCTGGATTGCAATGACGCGTAAGAGAGGGAGTCGACGATGGCACCGCGATGGCAATGCATAGCTACCGCTGGCGAGAGGGCTGTGCATCAGACTGACCCTCTAAGAGTACAGCGCAGGAGGTCGTACCATTCCAAAGAACAATGATGCATCGCATTCTCCGATGACCTTGCCGGCTAAGTTAAAGCGTTGGTAGAGTCCTCGGATCGCCCTCGATGCCTCGTGGAGCGCATCTTCCTAACGCCAGACTCGCACTCGTGGTACAGCTCCTGTCGCTACCGCGGAACATATCGGTTACCCCCTAAAACACACACAGTAATTATGCCCCTCGCCCAACGGAGATGCGAGGGTTGGAAACCAAGATCCAGGACTAGTGGCCCATGCAATGTCTTTCGACTCAATGGTACAGTCACCAGAGCCAATCTCTGACCTTTGCGACGTGTGATTTGCGGATACCCTCGTGGGTGAGTTGGGATATCTTGCGTTCGAGGTTCATGAGTGGCTTGCTAATCACTCGATGCCATCGCAAAGCATGCTTCCAAGCCTTGGGTACCGCGGTAAGGAATCCCCTCAGGTATGTAGTCCTCGTAGATTTTTGAACTTGCTCCCGTTATACAAAAACCCCATGGCTATTATTTTAAATGGACAACCCCACACAGCCCCCAACAAACAACGCCATCCTCATGACCACATCCCCCGTGGCATGGGGATTCCACGGCAACTACGAGGACTTTGTGAAGAATGAACTGGTACCTGTGGATAACCCACCCGCCGATGGCAACTGCGCTATATGCCGGCTCGATTTCGCCCATCAGGACCAAGCGGAAGAGCAGCCATCGGATGAGCACGGCTATGGAATGACGACCCAGGACAGAATCCTTGCTGCTGCGATCGCCGCAGCAACGGTCGAGCAAACTCCCCAAGGAAACGTCGTACAGATTTGGAAATGCAATCATTTCTTTCACAAAGACTGCATCTGCACTTGGATAGACGGAGACGTCACTGCCACGGCCGCTCGCCGATCATGTCCGCTATGCAAAACCGAACTCGTTCGGTACGACCCCCTAGCCCGAGCCAAAGCTGTATGCCGCGAGATCCTTACGCATCAGGAAACCATCAATGGGTTGAACGTCATATACCGCAATGCCGCTTCGACGCGCGCAAAGATGCAAGGCCTCAGGATAGACATAAACAGGCTCAGGCTCGGGTTCAGTCACGACCCCTACGCTCTATTGACGAGCTCTAGAGATAATATCCGCGTCCGCCTACGAAATCTCATGCAAGCAGTTGGTGTCACGGATGAACGATCCTACCTCGACCAACTCGATCAACTCATAATGTTTGGCGGTTACAGCGTTCGCGACAGCGTAGACCTAGTGTACCGGTCCCAGCTCAGCACGTCCGCAGCAAAATTCGAAAGTCAAAAGAGGGACATACTAGCTCGCCTCCAACCCATCTACACGAAACTCGATGAAATAGAGCAGATCCTCAAGGAACTAGCTGAGGTGCTATACCAAAGCTGGGGCTACTCTCCCGCACACGCATCTGCGCGGCTACTGGAAGACTTTGGCACCGCTGATCCTGATGAGATTAGTCCTTGGCTACTGGCTCATCTCAATGGGCAGTTTAATGTGGAGATTGACCTACATTTTGTTGTTATAGATGCGGAGTGGCTGCGCAAAAAGGCGGCTTGGACTAAGAAATGGTTGGACCCCGCGGAATATGGTGTAGCGCCGGTGAATGCGGGAGGAGTGGAGGACGAGGGGCATGAGAGTACGGCTGGTACGGCGGGGGAGGGAGATGGGCCGGGTGTGGTGCATGTTGAGGATGTGGATGGGCGGGGGGAGGGTCAAGGGCGAGATGGAATGGGAGAGGGTGCGGGTGTTGGGTATACTGAGGACGGTGAGGAAGAGGAAGAAGATGCGAGAGTGGTGTATACTGAGAATGTGGAGGAGCAGGAGGAGGAGGAGGAGGAAGATCAAGATGAACTTTACCATGACATGGCAGAGATGCACTTGGGCTCTGGAGACAGGCCTCATGATATGTAGCCATTAAGGTTCGGACTCAAATCCAGCAAGCAAGGTTTGGGTCGAGCTGCGCGGTTGTTTAGTTGGGGTTGCCGTCGGGGTGAGAGAGGAAGTCGCCCGATTGGGTTAGTGCGCAAACGAGTATATTTCCAAACATTACTTCCCCCACCCTCGCTGCTGCCTTCTTCTACTTTCGCATCCTCACATCGACAGTTACATATTGGCTGCTTTCACGATGGCGCAATCCCCCAGCGGCAGTCAGGCGCCCGCCGACGACGGCGATGCACCGGATCTTTCACACCAAGCCCCACATCATGACTCCGCGCTATCTCTTTCCCTCCGCAATGAAGCTGAAGCGATCGCAGAACTATTGGATCTGACTTCCGCCGACGACGACTCAATGGATGAGGAGGTGCGATCTCACAAAGACAGCCAAAACTACGTCAGTAACACCGGCCCATCATCTCGCTCACCTCACGTCATGCCCCGATAAGACATGACGCCTGCACCAGATAGCTCATTACATGCGCAAGCTGAAGCGAATGTCTCAATTGTATCACTACAACAGCACGATCGCATTAGTAACCAAGCTACTCGCGACGGAAGACACCAAAATCGACCCATCGCTGTCCTCGTCTCTGGTTGACACTCCCAATCTGCGCGTCACTAGTGATAAGATTGCTGGCGAAAAGTCTCCACGCCAAGCCGCAGACCAGGAACATGGAAGTCTACAGGTCAGCTTGCATGGAAGTAGAGCTCTTCGTGTGGGCTAAATCGCATCCACGTATCCTCGATGATTGCTTCAAGGACACGTTTGCCGACTTCAAGCTACTTTTAAGTTGGCTGCATGCACGGGATATGGCGGTTGGAGACGACGAGTGGGTTGCGGGATGTATGGAGGAGGCGGTCAATGCTGTGGTTGTCGCTGATAGGGGTGGGTATAATGGGAAGAAGGCGGAGGTTAAGGAGACGGTGTATAGAGCAGAGTTTGAGTAGGGGTTGGTATCTGGTCGGTGTTGGAAGGGTGGGGTGTGCTTCGGTGGACTTTGTCGATGTAGTTGGTACGTGAAAACGAATTGAAGTCCAGCACGATACGACGTGAACAGTATCTGGGGTTGATAAATATGGCGTTTGCCGACTACTGAGCTCTTCGTGAAACCTCTCTTGATATGTGCGGGTATATGGTATCCGTCATCTCTAACGACACACAAACTTCCACACGTCACGCTCTCCATGTATCTCTCTACGCAAGCACAAAAGACATACCCGCTACCCCCGCCACCAGCACAGCCAGATCCATGTTCCGTCCCCATGCTATCCCCACCGCAGCACTCTCGTCATCATTACCATCACCGCTAGGCTGATTGACAGACTCAGCAGGCACACGACTCCCCTCAAGCACATTGTCGGGCGCGATGCAAACAACGCTCGTCTTCGCCTTCTCGTTCGCAACAGATGCGACAACAACAGGATGGGGACGAGTGATATACTCGTCGTACATGGTGAAATTGTCCAACTCGTGATCGTAGCTCGAATTGCCTACACCGGCGGGGCCGTAGCCGACGAGCGGGGCGGTGTGGTAGCCCTCTGGAAGTTGGACGCCGGTTGGGGGGACGGTGCAGGTCATGTTTGTTGTGTTGAGGGTGCCTCCTGTACAGAGAGTGAGTTAGTAAAGCCCCGGACGCATAGAAGAGGGAACTTCGAGCTAAAAACCCGACGTACCGATCATGCCCATGCTACTCGAGAAACCGGATCCACAAATCTCTTTCATCTCCGTTTCGTTCAAGTGCGGTGGCGGGCATACGAACGAAGCGCGTCCGCTGGTGCCGTTGGTCATTTGCTCTAGCGCGTCATCCGGGAGCGTCAATTCGCTTTCTAGATAATCCAGACATTCCTGCGGTAGTACGCCATCACACCCGCTCTCGTCGTCGCCTTGTCTGACATTATCAACGCCATGGAAGAACCACACGCAGGTTTGGTCGAGGCTGTTGGGGGGAGCGCTAAGGTACACCATTGACTGTGCATCGAATGTCCGGCTCCACCTGTCTGGATCGCGGAATTCGCCGAATGTGACGGAGATGCGCAGGTCGGACACGTTTGCTGTGCCGCTGCCGTTTACGGGGTAATTGTAGTGGTCGCCTAAACGGTTTAGGTCGGGACAGCTGTCGGAGCTGGGGTGGATTTCGCTGCTGTTCTGGGCAAGAGATGAGGTGATTAGGAGGGATGCTGCGATGAGGGCGCTGCTGAGTCGGGATGATCTTGATGCCATGGTTGGAATGTGTTTGTAGAGGTCGTTTGGTATTGAGACTGGTGACGATTACGTAGAAGAACGAGGGCGTCAAGTTGTTTTTGTACATCCTAAGGCCAACCACTTTGTTGCCCTGACGGCTGTGCATCGCCCTGCCCAACTTGACGTCACATCGTAGTCAGCCTTGTTTCGCTGTGGTGCAACAGGACGCCTGATTATGTGTTGTTATTCGCGGTCGCGGCTATGCGATACTGACGCTAAGCCTGCGATTGACGTAAAAAGGTACCACAGGGATCAGCCGCCAAGTCTGTGGTCGACACGCGATGCATGCACAGTCAGACGTTTCATAGGCTTGTACGGATCGGGGCCGGAATGCTGTGATCAGGGCGAGTTGTGTGGCTTTGAGGTATGCCAAGCTGGATGTCACGGCTGGGCTTTACCCACAAGGCACGCCTTAACCGTCGGTGGTAATGGATTACTATTCCTGCGAACTCAGGTCCAGATGCGCATCTAGGAATTGCTTTGATCGTGTGGGCGACGGTTCGATGGCTACATCGCTTGCGGAAATCATTGTGCTTTCCATTAATGATGTGGTGGTACCTGGCGCTCACGTGACGTCGCAGTTCGGCATGCGGAAGGAAAGCTAAGTATAGCTTTCACCGCCTTGTTCTGGTGAGATTCGGAATTAGAAGGAGCAAGTGAGTAAGTAAAGTATAGCAAATCTACATGGGCGCATGATCGATAGGCAAGCTATGCCATCAAGCTCCTGTATTGAAGTTGATAGGATACATAGAAGGAGTGAAGTGCAAGGTCGACAGCGGGGAAGGCTTGACCTCGTCAAGTGCGGGGGGCGCTAAGACCACCCTGGCCTTACGCGACTGGCCGCCTCTATCGCCAGAACTTCATCACTATCTTCTCATCCCACCTTTGATAAGCTCATCGACGCGCATAACAACTCGCGGTCCTCGAAATGACGAGATGTGTGACCGACTATCCTTTCGAGTTGCCAGTGCGCACTCAGAACGCTTCTATACTCCGCCAAGGCCAGTCGAAACAGCATGTCGCGCACGATCCGCATAGCCGCTGCACAGGTTGGCGCAGTCCATCGCACTGACATCCGTGGAAACACAATAGACCGACTCGTCCGTCTTCTCAATCAAGCCGCTGAGCAAGGCGCACATGTTGTACTATTCCCAGAATGTACTTTTACCACCTTCTTCCCTCGTCATCTCATCACCAACGAAGCGGAACTCGAGTCGTTCTTCGAGCACGGCGATGTGACTACAGCAGAAAACACGAGACATATCTTCGAACGAGCTAAAGAGTTAAAGGTCGACATCTGCATCGGATTCGCAGAGGCCACAGATGACGGCGACCACTACAACTCCTGCGTCTATTATCACGCCAAGTCCGGATCTATTTTGTCAAAGTATCGAAAGGTCCATTTACCCGGAGACTTTGACCCTTTCCCCGAGCCCGATGCCGTCAACCAGCTGGAGAAGAGATACTTTAAGCCGGGTAATTTAGGGTTCAACGCCTTCCGAGTACCTGGCCTGGTGGAGACCACACCTGAACACGGCGAGCCCATCTTCGGCATGATGATATGCAACGATCGACGTTGGGCAGAAGCTTGGAGAAGCTTGGGTCTCCAAGGCGTCGAAGTTGTTCTCGTGGGCTTCAACACGCCTGGCTTCGCTCCTCAGATGTGGGGTGCATCCGCTGACGTGAGTCCAACTGAAGCACGTGCTGAGGCCATCTTCCATCACAAGCTGGTCATGCAGGCCCACTCATACACCAATGCATGCTTCTCCGTCAGCGCAGCGAGATGCGGGTTGGATGATGGGAAGTACGATCTGGTAGGAGGCTCGACTATCATTGGGCCTGATGGGAAGATCATCGCTGAGAGCAAGACGGAGGAGGATGAAATCATCGTCGCCGATTGCGATCTTGATCGATGCCTACCAGGAAAAACGCGGACGTTTGACTTTGCCAGGCATCGACGAACAGAGCATTATGGCATTTTGACTTCTCAAACGGGAGTTGTCGAACCGCCGCGACTAGCACAATCGGAAAAAGTGCATCATGAACCCAAGGCTACAGCGAGCGATGGTAACCGTAAGATGCCGGCCTCCGTCACAGGCGCCAGATCTCCAAAGCACATCCGCATCCTCCTCTGCAACCCCAACGCTACCAAATCAATGACAAACGCCTGTCTAGAAACACTCAAACCAACACTCCCACCCGACGTCACCGTTTACGGCTTTACAGCCCCTAAACCAGCGCCATCAGCTATCGAATCAAACTTCGATAACATCATGTCCGCAGCCGCCGCCGCCCGAGCTATCATACCCGTTGCACATCAGTACGACGCATTCCTCATAGCTTGCTACAGCGATCACGCACTCATAAAGGTCCTTCGTGAAGCACTCTCGCAGCCGGTAGTTGGCATCATGGAGGCCTCGCTGTTCGCTGCACGAACGCTGGGTGGTCGGTTTGGCATCATCGCAACAACGCGACGATCGCAGTATACGCTGGAGGACTCCGTGAAACACTACGGCCTGGAGTCGTTCTGCGCTGGTGTAAGAAGTTGTGATCTCGGGGTTTTGGAGTTGGAATCGAAGCCTGGAGAGGAAGTGCTTGGCGTCATGTGCGACGTAGGTAAGAAGCTGGTTGCGGATGGTGCTGATGTGTTGACGCTTGGGTGTGCTGGCATGACGAACATGAAAGCTGCTGTTGAAGAGGCGGTTGGAGGTCATGTGCAAGTGATCGATGGTGTGCTGGCTGGTGTACATCATCTGGTTGGTCTTTGTAGACTTGGGATGCAAACGGCTAAGAGGGGTATGTACGCGAGCGCGGAGATAGACAGAGCGAAGAGGTCAAGATTAGTATTGAATGCGTTTGGTACATGAATGCCTGCATGGAAACATCACTACGGTTGATGTAGCATGAGCACCACGTATATATGCTCGCTCAAGTCCAGCGCAACCTCGTAGTTATGCCAACATCTTCGCCCACGAATTCAACCATCGTGCAACATCGACATGGCCGGAGACCAACCTTCCGAACAGCCCAAGGCTAAGCCTGCGGCATCAGAATCTGACAACATAGAACGCTTTGCTGAACACGTCAACGAGCGCAAGAGAAGGCGTAACCTGTGGGGTCAGTACGTGGACGAGCAGTCACGCAAGAAAAGTGACAGAGAGAAGCCTGTTCATACACCAGATCCTTCTGAGTCTACCAACTCGAAGGGAACGCAGACTGATGATGCGCCGTATGCTAAAGAGCCGGACGTTGATGGCGCCACGGGAGTCGATGACAAGGACGTGGAAGGAGAGGGCGTGAAGCTGGCGAACAAGGGTGGACATGAAGATGGGTTTGTTAAGACGCCATGTACTGGTGGTGCGTCGGGGGAGCGGGATAACATGGATTTATATGAGCCGTAAAGCGAAAACGATGAGATTTTTGGCCGTCGACAGTCAACAGCTGATTGCAAGGCGTTTACACTGTCTATCATGGTCTACATAGCCGTTTGTACTCGCCCGTCACACTGATGGCGTTCGATTTACGAACAACCACTGCTATTCGCCCTTGCATATATAAATCGCTTCTCTTCCCTCTCTTGTGACACATCTCACTGCCCTACTTACACAAAGTTCCATCCTCCCCACCAATCCCTTATCAGTCCAAAGGATCCTAAAATTTGCCGCAATGACTAACACATCTCCCACGAGGCTATGGGGGAAAGAACAGCCTCGTTCTGACTCTGAGAGAAAAGGCTCCCAAGGAGAACTCGGTGCGAATACTGAAGCCCCGATAAACAAGATAGGTAGAGTCTTGATGGAGAGTCGAAATTCGAAAGCCGTGGACTCAAATGTTTCTGGTGAAGAAGAGGGGAGAAAGACGGAGGGAGAAGAGAGAGCGGCAGATGTAGAAGCAGAGGAAGGTCAAAGTACAGGTGTTGATGAGACGTTCGGTAGCGTGATGGACAGGGTTCGGGAATTGGAGCGTAGGCGGTAATGCGGTGGCGCAACATCTTTCACCATCACCTTAGCCTTAACTTAAGATTTAAGACTCCCGCTTTTTGCAGAGCAACATATTAATAATGTTTGACAATAGCTAAACGGAGATCCTGCAGAGGTCTGCAGCCCTCCTCAAATTTGAATTCCGATTCTAAGACTATCGAGAGATGCGCATAAGATCAAGCTATACATGCCACCTCTTTACCGGAAGTAAGTCGGTGCCGTAGCTTTCGCAGCCATCCAAGCCTCATCCAACGCCTTGACAACATCATCAGGCAGCGCGCCCTTCTCCAAATCCGCTAGATTACCTTCCAGCTGCTTCAAACTGCTAACACCAATGATTACACCATCATTTCCGCCCTTGACTCGTGTCTTCAGTTCAGAGTGGTGAACGCACCATCGCAGCGCAATTTCGAGCAGTGTGAGATTATGCTTCTGCGCAGCGTCTTCAGCGATCTTCAGAGCCTGGAACGTGGCGTCTTTGAAGTAGCGTTCGCGGTACATGCTTCCGACGCGATCTGCTTTGGTGCCGAAACGGCCTTCGTCGGGCTTGATGTCTTTGGATTTGATCTTGCCGGAGAAGAGACCGCCGGCTAGGGGGTTGTAGATGACGATGTCGATGCCGTATTTGCGGCATGCTGGGATGAGCTCGGGTTCGATGGCGCGAGCTTGCACAGTTAGACGATGCCCTCCGCATGAGAAGGTAGATACTTACTGATTGCGTTGTACATGGCCTGGTAAATGGTCGGCTTCACCCAACCCCGCTCCTTGCAGATGTTGTATACCTCCGCAACTTCCCACGCAGCGAAGTTCGAAAGACCGAAATTGACAAACTTGCCCTGCTTGTGCAGCTCATTCACAGCACCGAGTGTCTCCTCGAACGGCACGGAATGGTCCGGCGCGTGCAGGTAGAAGATGTCAACGCAGTCCGCCCCCAGCTCTTTGAGACTAGTCTCGAAATGCTCTTTCAGCCTATCAGGCTTGTGAACACCAGCCTCATAAGGATACACCTTGGTGGCGAGAGTAAAGCCGCGATCCTTCCACCCCGCCTGGCGCGTCCATGCCTCTTGCTTGCCGCCAACGTACATGCGCGCCGTATCAATCTCATCGTAGCCCTGGGATTGGAAGTAGTCGAGATGCTTGGTGAATTCATCAAACTCTGTGATGCGCGCACCGCTGGTCTCGTCGGGACCTGGGATGCATTAGTCATGGTGTTGGGGTGTTGATCTGCGAAGCTTACCGAATGTCATCAATCCGAGGATGACTCGGTCTTTGGGGTTCTGCGCAATGAGAGGCATCTTGGCGTTTTGTCTGAGTTGTGCGGTAGTACGAAGTAAGGAATATTGATGTAGAGCTTCATGCTTGCCGTCATTGTCGCGAGATGACGACAGCGGGGTGCCCCACCCGGAGATAAAGACGCGGAGATATGCGGAAGAGCCGAACGAACCTTCTTCATTGATGGATGTCGATACACAAATGCTGCGAGTATCCCACTCCCTATTGCTTCGACTTGTACCTCAGTCCATTCCAGCGAAACGCTTCCAAGTCGTTGTGAGCCTTATCTACGTCAACATCCTGGTCGCTCTCGAGCCTTCCGGGTTTAATCCACGTCCATCCCTTAACGAAGATGGTCTCCTCTGATGACATCCAATGCCAGATCAGAAGTACTGCCGCGGTAGTTGGTAGAGAGGCAGCCCAGTAGATGCCAAAGCTTGGCTGTATGACCTTTGGCCCGTCCCACTTGAGTAAAGGCATAGCGAAAAGAGTAGCGAAGAAGGTAGGAGGCAGAAAGATCATGGTCATGATCGCGATAGTCTTCATCGAGTAACTGTCCTTTCGTGCTGCTAGTGCGATCTCCTTGCTACTTTTAGCATCGTCACGCGTGAGTAGGTTGAATATCTGGAGTTCACAATCAGCTGCTGGTGCGACGTCCTGGATTGTTTGTTTCAACCTACTACAGCCTGCTGCGTGCGGCCACGCTCTTGGAGATAAACTGCCTGCAGCTCGCCCGATTTCGTCTGACCTTCCAACATCGATGCAGCGACAAGGATATCGTCCAATGGCATTTGAACGCTGGGAGTGCTCGAAGATTGCGCAAGCGTCGAATGAATTGGTGACAAGGGTTGGGCTGATACAAGGTCGTTGAGGATTGCTCTTACAATGCAAGCGTGCCGGGAGACATTTGCAAGTGCCGTAAGTACGAATCCCAGCCGCTTAGAATGCTTCATTAGCTCATCCGTACTTGGAGGAGAGTCGTGCAGCACCTCATGCCATGCGCCATGCCCAGTGGTAACCTCTATGGATCGAATGCGGCCCAGGTTTTCGAAAGCAGTGCCTTCGATCCAACGGACCGTTTGTATGGCACACACGAAGGAACAGAAACGCGCGTCGCTTATAAGATCCTTGTGGTGAATGATGGTGTCTATCACACTCTTAAAGATCTGCTGAGGATACTGGGAATGTTCTCGGGGTATGAGCACGGCTTTGGTGGTCGTCGCATGAGGGTCGTAAGTCCACAGCATCGTATACGACACGGTATGTAGGTAGCAAGCATACTGCGTGCCACCTTCCTTCAGTCGAGGAAAGAACCCGTATGTCGAAGACAGTATCATGCCAAGCCAGTACGGATCGTACCCGAAGTTGTCAAAGATCTCCAGAAAGGTTCGCCGGTCGATGGCAAGGACTCCTTCGAAATCGCGCTCCAAGCTTATCATCCGCATAGATGCTGTTGCTGTCGCGTCGACGTTCTTGGGGATAGGTGTATTGATCTGGTCACATATCTCAGAAGTCTGGGACCAATGAACATTGGTTAGTTTGGCGGTTGTCTCTGCTTTGGTATATTGCGCCACGGTCAATAGCGAAATTCTAGCATCGTATAATTCGGCACCCTGCTTGAACTTCTGCTCTGACAGAAATCGTTCCCGCGCTTGCGTTCGTAAGCTGTTCATTGATGTGGATGTTCGCTGTTAGCTGAAGAGGCAGATTCAATGCAGCAAGCTGAATCGTTCAAGAATAAGAAGGTTGAGGAGCGCGCAGGCGGCGTGGCAGGGCTATTGAGTCGCGACAACATTGGGGCTGAGCCATTGCACTGCCTGGGGCTTCAGCTTCTGTCTCGACCATCCATTCGTTCCGCCTGCATATAATATTTCTGACCGTTCGACTTCTTTGCGCTCATCAGTGCACCGTAGCTTATGAAGCTTCCGCAAGATGCGCGCGCGGCACGAGTGAAGATTAGCGTGATTGCACAGCGTGGGTGGACGCCTTCGGCAGGCCATCGGAATGTTTCCGACATCGCTCTTTCTTCGCGTCGTATCTCATCCTCGATGTTCCCAGATCATCTCTAGGTACAGTCTCCTGCATGACGCAACGTATCATCAACGCGACTTCTCGCCAAGCCGCTATGCAACAGCCCGACACCGAACTGACAGGACTCGTGCAGGTGCGATCGGAACGAGTCGAGAGCACTTGATCTCGGGTTCTACCGCATCCCCACCTCTTGAGGGTCGATCAGCTCCGGCTCAGGCCCAGCTCTTCATTGGATGAGTCATCGTATAGCATGCGACATGTTCTAACCCAGGCTGCTTCTCAATACTCCGGCGCCGCCGAGATCGTTCTGATGGTGTCGGTCACGGCAATTGCAATATAGATTGCTCTGCCTTGCTTCCGAATGGTTCCTCGATTCATTGGAAACGCCACGACTTGGTTGGGAGAAGGCGTCTGCGCACGACTATTGGATAGCTACCTCGGACCTACCAAGGCTCCGCGACGCGCGCGAACTGCTTGCAGCAAGGCGTCGAGGCGGAGCGTGTGTCTCGCGAACGCCGTCTGTGCTAAGGACGTGCAAAAGCAGGAACAGCACACTCCCGCGGCCGTGCAACCCTTGAAAGCGATGATGAGGAATGGCTGAAACCTTGCGAGGCATCGCAGCCAGCATTCACAGCTCGCTTGGGGCGGTGGGGCGCTCTCGCACCAATGACGTCGCTGATGGGCCGATAAGGATAAGGAACCCAACATGTTGCAGCGCTCGGCTGGTCAGGCGGTCATCATCATGCAGCTAACCTGCACCATCATGCACCAGCATGCAGCTAGCAATGCCCATCGCCCTCGCAGCATGGCCGAACTCTGCACCCAGGATCGTCCCGCAACCGTCCCGCTGCTCTTCTGTACAGCACAGGTGCCACGTAGCAGCGACGCAGGTACGCACAGAAGCCGCACACAAAGAAGCATAAACGTCGCGGGCAGATCGCTGCAGCTTATAAGACTGACAGCCGGCCCTGCGCTGGTGTTCCAGTGTTCTACACTCCATTTCACTGCAGACCGACATCTGCAGTGCGCCAGACAATGAGGCGATCAGCTGGAGCCCGAGGTGTCATGTGGCCCAGTAAGCCACTGTGTGCAAACTTACGAATCAGTCACTTTCTCGCACACCATCAAGTGGGCTGTGCCCTGATTGGAGCGCAAACCCTCGATACAAGGTACTTTGACTGAATCCTTTCTTGATTTAGCTTATGGCCATGCGTCTATTGGAATTTGGCCTCCACGCCGCGACTGCGGTGCACTTGCTCCCTTGCCCGGCCGGAACACTCTTTGTCTTCACATGATATCATAGTTCTCAATCCGCTTCTCTCAAGTCTCCTTCCCTTGAAACGCTAGATTGTTCCTGTCTATTGGCTTGTGTCGCGCGTCTTAAGTATCACCCGCGTCCCCCATCGTCGAATTTAGCTTTCCGAACTTCGGCATCTGTATGCATGCAGTCATCACCTCTTCAGAACCTGGATACTGGACTTGAACCTTAGGCGCATAGCGATCCGAGACTTGCATCTTGATCGCCATGTGTTGGTCCTTCAACTTTGGCTTTCCAGGCAACAAAAAGCGGAAAGACTCGTCGTCGCCGGACGAGAAGAAGAGGCGGGATCGACCGGCGGATAGCGCGCTTCATGGAGAAGGAAGGCCAGTTGCTGCAGAATATTCCGAGAAGCGCAGTTCAAAGGATTCGAGCAGAAGGAAAAGATCTGGTGACTCTACCCCGCGATCTCCGCGGTCACCGCGCCACGAAAGAGAGAGGGAGGAGCACCGACCGCGATCGCAACACCAGTACGAAGATGCATACCGAACTCGCGAGAGACGCCGCTCCACACTGGACGTCGAAGTACCGCAAGTCTATCGCCGTGCAGCTGAGCCAAGTAGCGTCAACTCATCACAAGAGGCTCTGCTGAACCCACGCCCCCACCGAAGTCAACACCGTCGGCGGCAGCACCCAAAGCAAACGTCGCAAAGCACTCTGCGCGGGCGCGGAGCAAAGCGCGACCCTGTAAGACATTCAAAATCGAAGAAGAACGTCCGACCAGAACCTTCTCGGGGGTGGTCACTCTTTGCGCCCTCCCCGCCTAAGACACCAAAGCGCGAACACCGCAGTTACCAGACCCTGGATTCTTCGCCCCGCAGCAACCGCTCGTCCCGCCAGCATCGCTCCTCGACTGCATCCCAGACAAGTCCAGAGTCATCACGATCTCAGAACCGCCACCACCGTTCTCGTCAGCACGACCAGTCAGCTTCTTCTCCGCGCCAAGCGCGTTCTCGCACACCAAACACAACTGCTCGTCGCGTGCCTGACAGACGGTTCGCTGTACTCGCCGCTACCAACCAGGCGCTTGAGGAAGTCCGACAAGAAGCATTTGCGCAACCCTCCCCACCTCCGCGACGAGAGAGGCTGCGAAGGTATGAGGGCGTTACCATCCCGACATCGCAGATACCTTTCAATTGGGATTGCGTAAGCAGTTCGCAGGCCTCAGCTAGACCAAGCAATCGGAGTGGTGAATCGAGTGGTCGGAGACGGTCGCGTCGTTGATGTGTTTCATGAGCATTGCATCTCGCATCTCGTTCAAGCCACGCGTGGCTGCTGCACCTGGTCATAGCGAACCGGAGGTGGCGCATTATCGCATTATCGTACATTGTGTAGCGATATTTTCTTTTCTTCTCCGCATGTTCTCGATAGTCTTGTAGTAAGATACCCCCCGGCATATCATCGGTAGTTTTGGGCGTTCGCATCACATCATTCGGCCCCGGCACAGCACACTTCATTTGGCGTTTTTTGGCAACACAACACAATACCCCTGCATCACATATTTCCGCATCGCATGTAGTTCCCATCGTTGTAATAGTAAAATACATATCTTCGCATTTTGAAAATCATCTTTGTTCTGCATTGCGCTTACCCTTCATTGGTGGAGTAATCGAGGCGCCCTCGTGATTCACCTAAGCACCTGCACAGAATGCCACCACGTGACGTCTTCGCGCCCGAACACATGCAGGTCTGCGACCATCGCAATGATCTGAGCACGTCGCAAGTCTCATATATACGCAAAGGTACGTTCATATGTAAGTATGACCATTGATACACAGCATGACCACCAAAAACACCCCATACCCAATATGCCATCAAATGTTCACTTCTCGGTTGGTTCGATGTCTTCGGTCTTCCAAGGTTGGTAACAGCAATCACGGTGTCATCTGAACCACAAGTTCGCGAGATCATGTGCTCTAGGCGGAGATGTCGCTGCCTTGGGGATGGTCGAGGCCTCGAGAGACCGTAACTCAGCAAGAGCGGAGGCCCTGACGTCGACGTCATAAGCTGGGTTGCCATGGGTAAACATGGCTCTTGCCTCGGCGACGATGAGGTGTTGCAGCTCAGTGGTGTGAGCGTGCTCGAAGGCGGCCCATATGCCACATCGCGAGCCTCTACGAACACTAACCCCATTCCAGCATCCCCAAATCTGTCCCTCCCGCTCATTGGCCACGGAGCATCTTCCTCAGTAACTCACACCCCCATCCCCCCAGTTCCCTCGTACCTACCTGTCTAGGCAACTTCGGCGTGAAGTTCCATGGGATCGATCGACAAGCGCATGGACATTGGTTTTCCAGTTTCTCAAGGATGCGGTTGTGGTGGGAAGATGCGGAATTGGGTAATGGTAATATGCTGGTGTTCGGGGAATTTGACCGAGGTACAAGACGGGTATTTTGTGGGGACGCAGGGAGGACGGAAGGGGATAGGGGGCTTGGCGGTGGGGCGTGCGTTTCGCAGGGGCCCAGAGGAAAGCAGGTGCGACACTCCTTCTGTGCTTCCCGCTCGAACTTCAGGTGTCTTTGCACTGTCTTCGCCTGTCTTGTCTTGTCGATATCTGGATTTGTAGGACATTAAGCTACAGTTGACTCCATAGGTTACATGAATCGGCACACCTCGAAATCGCTTGACTGCTAGCTTCCGTCCGCCGTGTGCACGCGACCCAGGACATACCCTCAAGATCTCATATCGAGCCATGCGCCACCAGCATCCGTCACCAGCGCTTTCAATTGAGCGATAAACGCATCCCACACGTTCTCGTTGTGCTGAGCAGTCCCGTCATGCCACGTGTGTGCGTAATTTTCCCCTTCCGACACGCCATCAGCATCCACCACACAGTCTCGATGCGGCAGACCATCCGACCTGGCATGAATAACGTGGAAAGACTCTTCATCTACAGTCACACGATCTGTTGAGTTCTCCAGCTTTCTCTTGGACTTCAGCCCGCATGCGATGAAGCGGATAGTGTAGCCTTTGGCGAACGGCGAGATCTCAATGCTTGCTAACGGTATGCGTTAGCTCAGAATGACAGGATCTGGGGTGTTGAGCCACTTACAATGTTCGCTCAACTTGAATGAACGGTATGGTTCCTTCGGTCCCTCTTCATACATGCGGATGAAATCACCATCTTCGTCGTCGAAACTTGTTCCTATACCCGGACTTAATCGTTGGTGGTAGACCTTGGTGTCGTCTACAATGAGGTAGTACGTCCCTGATCCGTCTCGGCGGCAACAGAGGAAGGTCGCTTGGTTCACTGTTAGTGTCCATGTACGTCGGTCATCTTGAAAGGACGTACCACGGTCTTCATCCTCGCTTTCGCCCTCGCTCTGGGCTGCGTGTGCGGGCATCTTCATCGTCACCCTGGCTTTTCCTTTAGGCTCAGTGTTGTCCTCAGCTGCTTTGTAGCTGTTAGCGACAACTCTCCTGTTCTCTCATAAAGTATTCACTTACCGTTGGCAGCATCTCTACTGGCCTCGCTACCGGTTGCATGCGACGATAGTTCGATATTTTCTGCAGAGTCGTTCAGAGGTCGGGGGTCTGGTCGCACCGATGGGCCCTGCCCGGCTACGTAATTCAAGAGGTATCCGTCTCGCTCGGTAAACGGTCTCACATGCGTGCGAACTCCAGGACCCTCAGCCGGCTTGTATAAGATCGTCATACACTCCGACAGTTCTGCTTCAAGCACGAGAACACCACGTACGCGAGTGCCAGCCTTCTCTGCCATGTTCACAGTCGGACCGGAAAGTGTGTGAGATATCTCCCAGGTAGAGTCCCACAGGCAGTTCACTATACGTTCTTCTTTGGCTTCGATGACGTAGTCTTGAAGAATGGAGAGATGGCCAGGCATGTTTGCGAAGTCTTCGGCGATGTATAGTCCAGGCCATTGTGTCCTGTAATACATCTCTGAGTCCGGGCTCGTTATGGTCTCGAGATCTTTGATCGCATCTTTGAGCTTTATGAAGGCGTTTCGCGTCTGGGCCATCGTGTCTTGTCAACTCCTGGTGCTGAGTGAGCTTTTGGTGGATGCCGTAAGATGAGGTTAGGCGTCATTATATGATGAGTCTTGTAGTAAGTTTGATAGTAATAAATTTGCGTCAGGTCAAGCTGACTACGGCAATCGATCACTCCAGTAACAGCAAGCAGACTTCAAACATGGCGTCGTCAGCACCCGATGCGCCCCATACGTTTTCGTCACGAGTTGTCCCGTCTGACGCTTCATCAGACTTGTCAAAACATCATAGTGCAAACTTCGCTCACGATTTTGCGCAAACTGGGCATCTTCCATTCGATGCGTACAATGAACTACTCACATCCGCTCTGACACAGCAGCCATGGCATAAATGCGATGGAAGTCAACCGAGCTACGAACAGCTCCCCCAATACCAACTAAACGATGAGATACTGGCCATCATCACCCCTGCGAACGGGATGTCGATGCCCAAGTCATGCCACAAATGACCTGCCATTATGTTTCCTCCTCCTTCCTCGACTCTGCTTCGCCTGCTAATGATAGTAAGCGTTCATTCTTGTTAAAGGCCAATGAGAATCGACTTACCTGCATCGCCCTCATCCCCCAATCCAAGAAATCGTCTTGGTACAACCCGCTTATTCTTCCGCAGATCGTCGGGCTTACGGTTCGAGTCTCTCACATAGTCCATAATCCTACAATACTTGTCCCCCTCTTCCATAGGCGAAACGCGTAGTCGTGTACCTTCACCATCATTGCCCGATCGGATCAAGATCGTCAGTTCCTCCTTAAGCTCGTTTCCGAAGATCAAAAGGCCGTGAACTTTGATCGCAAGCTGCCATGGTTGAAGCCCTATCCTGTGGAGGTCTATCTTCTCTTCTTCCCATGCAGAGTCCCAGAGAACTTGGATTTGCGGCGGTTCGCTGAACTCACGCAAGATGGTGAAATGGTGTGGGTTACGTCCTTCGTCTGCGCGTATGTACAGTCCCTTTCTGCGTTTGATGGCAAAGTACTCTTTTCCGTGACCGGAGAAGAGGTTCTCGAAGTCGTTGAATGCGGATTTGAGCTTCTGGAAGGTGACTTGAACGCTTGGGTCTTTTTCGAAGCTGGTGTCCATGGTGGCTAGAAGGACAATATGCTGGGTATGGTAGCTGGAAATCTACCAGTTTTATAACTTGTCTAACGCGACAAGTTTGTGCATGGCACACTCATGTCGTCCAGAATGACCTTTGCGCATGTCATGCTTGACCTCCTAGCAATTCATCACCAGCTATACTCTGCAGACGCAACTGGCTTTACAAGTCACCAACCTGTTGTGATTACAGTGAAGTTTGGTTTTCGCGGGTGGCACGCGCAGATACCAAGGCCTAGCCTAATATCATTCGCGCCGTCTCGGGTGATGAAGAACTACACCAATGTCACCACCAATGCGCATCATTCATCCATGCTGCATCGCAGGTGTTCTCGTTGTCTACTACACTCTACTCACTATCTTCATCACTTTCCTCCATCTCAGCTTCCCCACCACCGTCCTCCCCACTGCTATCCTCACCTTCTTCGCCTTCCGCCTCATCTTCTGCATCCACATCAACAAGCTCACCGTCCTTCAGCTTACACCTCCGTATTCTCCCCTCTCCAATAATCTCCTCCAGCTTGTCCATAAACTTGGGGAACACGATCACATTGTGTTTCGCATAGTCTTCTTTGTGCATACCCTGCGCCCTACCGCTGTACTTTCTAGGCCATTCATGCTTGAGTTGAGCATGCCAACGGTCAGCAGGTAAGTGCATGTGAAACTCTTTCCAACGGATTGTGGCAAAGCTATGCTTCGTGCTCTTTCCCTTGTACATCTTTCCTTCCACAGGGTGACCCTTGATCAGTGTAGTGTGGCCGCAGTTGTTGAGACGCAGGGTGTATCCGTATTTGAAGGTGTAATAGTCGATGTGGAAGGGCTCATCGGCATCGTCTTGCTTCCGAAGATCGACGGGTCTGTTCTTGTCAAGCTGCATCTTTGGTGCGTTCGGGTCTTCTAAGTCGAGGGTTAGAGTGACCCAGCTCGAATTGCGCTCAAAGACATAGAGGAACAATGCTGGTGTATTGTTAGCTTTGTCTCGCCAGCTTGATGATGATGTGGTGTAGGATACTTACAATTGTTCGAGCCTGGAGCTGCAACAGCGGTGCTGTCGCACGCTGGGTCACCTTCTTCTGGGCCTTTTGTGTTAGCATCTTGAGTTGTCTCGGGTTCAGTGATCTCATGCTCGGTATTTCCACGTTCGTTGGTGTCATGTTCACTGTTGTCATATTCGATGTCCTCCATAGCGGGATGTCACTGAAGTAGTATGATGAAGATCGACCATGCAGCCGGATAAGTCATTTATGTCGTGAGCGCGGCAAGAGGCTTGCTCAGGTCAGTCATTATGTTGTTCATGGATGCTCGTGATTAGTAGAGAAACTGATATCAAATGGCCGACGCTGAATCACATGTGTGACAATCATACCTGTATACATGATCGCAAATGCCGCGTGATAAACTCACCATCGATCAACGGAGCATGCTGAACACACCACCCGCCTCCTCAACAATGCGCTTCAGTCCCTCCACAAACTCCTCCCAGTCATCCTTGTTGTGCTTTGCAACTTCCGGCCTCCATGTTGGATATGTCTTACGGTCTCGGTGTTTCTCTCGCCTGCTCCGCCTCGCGACATTCACCTCCCCATCGTCGTCCCCGTCCTCATCCTCATCCTCATCCTCGTCTTCACTGCCAGCATCGTACTCCTCGTGCTCGAACTCAGCTGACGGCGGGTATAGCGCGTAATAAGACGTATCCTTGATGAACTCCCGTTTCGGATCGCCTGGAAGGTTTCCCTTGATAGCTGCTTTGGTGGTGGAACCGCAGCTAAGGAATCGTACTTGCCAGCCTTTCTTGAAGCGCTCAATTTCGATCTTTGCTGTTTGAGGTTAGTCGTTACGAAGGTAGGGGGTGGCAGGCATGAGACTTACATTCCGCGCGGAATCTAAAGTATTTTGGCACGAAGACTTCGGGTGGCAGGTCGTCGCCAGACATGCGCTGGTACACGACTTCATCGTCCTCAATGACCAAGTCCCACGTCCCGCTCCGGTGTCGCCGCGCTCGAGCATATACATCTCCTGTAGTCAGTCAGCCCTCTAGGCTACCAAGATCGTGTTAAGGGCAAGCATACCATCGTGAGTGTTCGATGTTGGTGGAACCAGTGAGACGCTGATCCTATCCCTGTGAATTGTAAGTTGATCTGATGCGCTAGTAACATAGAGAACATACTCTTCCAGGACCTGCGGTGCCAACGCTGGGTATACGTAGATGTTTACAGGCTCTGCGTTCGGTTGCGTCCAGCGAATGCCAATCTTCGTTTCGAGCTCACTGGGGACGATGAGAAAGCCTGGAATACATATCCCGCGTTTGTCAGCAACATCCACTAGACGTAGGTGCTCATGCTCCTTGTCTGAGTTCCACTCTTGTCGCCATGCTTCACCGTTATGACGATCGATGCACACCTTACCATGAAGGCTTGTTGGCTGGGTATAGATTCCTGACTTTCCGGTCACAAGATATCCGTCGCTGATCTTTTCGTCTACCAATGTAGCGTTTTGGTCGTTCGTCGTGGACATCTGGTTGAAGTTGCTGGGTTTTGGTATGCACTTTCTTCTCCATGGTGCCTGGAGGTTTTATGTTACCGTCGTCGCCCGTAGTTTGCTCTTAGCTGGAATCATGAGGAAATCGAAAGCAGAAGACATGATCGCATGGTATGGTATACCTGCTCAGCTGAAGAGAGCCCCAGGCGAGCTTAGCATCAGACCGAGCACACCGCGCACCTTCTGGACGAAACACCTTGCCTGTAGAATCATCAAACGTCATCACGTGAGTATTGACTCGAGATGAATAGATTGCGCGTAACATATACGGTGCGAGCGCCAGCTGCTGGTGTAGCTCGTTTGATGTCTGCGATGGTGGTGTCAAAGTCACAACGTTGTCACAGCCAGGTTCCGCGATCCACTCCGTTTCCGAGCGGAGCAATAACGTCCGCCACTAACCCTCTTCAGGTAACGCGTGACATCGCGTTCGCCCTCTCCTCAAGCGCTCTCGGTCGGTGTCTACTCCGACGCGCATGAGCAAGGATGAGTCGATTGATTGCGAACATTTGAGCATTCCGTCGGATAATTTCGCGCGAGTAAGCGCTAGGAAAGGGCGTAATGCTACTACCATAACGCAGGTCTACAGTTCTTGTGTCTACATAAGTGTGTTGAAGGGCGCCTGTCTGGCTAGGTAGCTCAAGGCCACTGTTGTCACATCCCCTCATCTTGCGTATGCCTCGACGTTAAGGACTTTAACCACAACAATCGCAAACATGGCGGCGCAAAAAGCAGAGTTCATCAAAGTGCCCACCGATAACTCAGATGGCTTCCAGACAATGCCCGTAGAGCCCTCAAGACGGCTGTCAGAATCGGAGTTGCGTATCGAGAAATGCACGCCTGATGATGCTGAGAAGATCGTGAGTTGCTCCATTGAACCTTCACCCAATCTTCCTTACCCATAAACCCCATCAAACTAACACCCCCACCCAGGCCGAAGGCCTCTACCTCTGTTTCCCAGAAGACTGGTGGGCCAAAAAGGAACCCCCAGAGATCCGCCCAGCAGGCGAGAACAGCCTCCAAATCCGTATCCAACGCATGGCCCAACGACTAACCCCCGCCATCACCGACCCCCATCACACCTTCATGAAAGCCGTCTACACCCCCACGGGCTCAACAATCGGAATAGCCGGCTGGACGCTCCCCACCAACCCCTCCGTGCACAACCTCTTCCGACGCAGCGCCGCCACGCACTACTCCTGGGCCAAGTCGCAAAACTGGAGCGACGCCGATCTCGATCTCATGTGGTCGCACGTCTCCTCGGAGAACTGGAGCGAGCGCTTCGCCAAAGACGACGAGGTAAGGAGGGAGGCGACGGGCGGAGAGCGGCATTGGTATCTCGCGCCGCTACTTACGTGGCCGGAGTGGCAAGGACGGGGTGTGGGGAAGAGGTTGATGGAGTGGGCGTTGGGGCAGGCGGATGCGAGGGGGGAGGTTGTGTATTTGGAGAGTAGGCCGAGTGCGCGGGCGGTGTATTTGCATGCGGGGTTTGTGGGGTGTGGGGAGTGGAATATGGTTAGGTGGCCGAAGGGGAAGGAGGGGGAGGGGGAGAAGGGGGACGTGGAGGTTGCGACGAAGGGAGCGGACGCTGATGGTGCGATATGAGTCGACTACTGCGTGATGAGACGACAGAAGAGGTCGCAGGAAGGATACCGTATGACTAACATATGTCACTGTGCAAACCTTGGAGATAGCTAAGCAGCTACAAGACTAACGAAGAAGAAATAGTCATTAGACCTACTCCACAACCTTACTGTCTATCGAACTTCGCTTGTAGGGCGTAGTAGCCTCCTCGTCCTAGACGTTGTTCCTCCACCAGATTCCTATATGCAATAGCGGCCTTAATCCTCTCCGCCCCTTCGCTCAGCCCCTTCCTCAAACAAGAAATCACATCAATCGCCAGTTGGCCCCCGCCACCTAGCGCCTTCTGGAACGCAGGTTGCAGCTCCAGGTTTTGGATCTGAGCCATGATGTAACCCAGTATCTCTTCTCGTAGGGCATCACGCTGCGAAGGGGTATCGTGGTCTTGAGTGTTGTCGCTGTTGTAGACAAAGGAAGCCAGGGCGACGATATCTTCGACCCGCTCGTGGGTTGTTACGAACTTTTCTTCCATGCATAGTTGTAGTGCGACGTGGAGTTTGGATATGGCGAGTTCCTTCAGTGCGGGGATGAGGTAGTAGTCAGCGAGGCAGTACATCTTGGCGTGGAAGAGGAAGACGTCCTTGTGTTTGTAATTTACACGACCAACATGTTGCTCTTTCATGTGCGGGGCGACTTTGTCCCAGTCTTCTCCATAATAACATGGACATTGCTCCTTGACGACAAAGCGCTCGTAGGGCGTTGGGTAAAAATGTGGCATATGCCACATGTGTTCAGGGGTGGTTGCTTTGGCATAATCTTCTTCGCTTATTGTAGGAACCCAATTGTCGAAGATCTCGCACGGTCTAGCCTCCATGTCGACTTCGACATGGGAGTCGACTTCGACATTGGGGTCAATTTCGCAGGGAAGGACGTTGTAGTCACTGCGGTATGCGTATTCGACGAGGCCCAGGAAGACCTCGCGATCGACATGGGGCAGAGCGGCGCACTTCTCCTGCGCTTCCTTCATGAACCCGTTGATAAGGCGGTCCAAGGGCTCAGATACCTCTGACATCATGGCGCCATGGACGGTGACGGGCTCGCGGGTGGCTCCTAGTAGGAACGTGAACTGCGCGGAAGATAACATCCTGGAATGTGTCAGCAAGATATCAAGGATGTTGTAATGTGATATACTTACTCTGTGAATGAGGGTGCCATTGTGTTCGAGGCTTTCGGTAAGTGTAGCGGTTGTACGTGACGGGTTGAGAAGTTGTATGTGTAGGTAAAGGTAGAGTTGGCGCCGCGATTTGTAGGCAGTGTGGCGATGCGCAGAGGACTGCGCCCCTCGCCAACTTTGGAGTGGCTACAAGGTAGGCACAGACTCGCCGTACCCGCGGCCAGTTAGGCCTGTGATGCCATTGGATCGGTGAAAGTAGCAGGGGGTCGCAAGTACACCGACTCTTGAAGAAGTTCTTGTACAGTGCAATCCAGACTGTGAAGCGGTACTGGAAGTGTGAAGTCGACACTCCATTGACGAAAGGCCGGGTGAAAGGCATTGTTGAAAGCTGTATGTTGTGCACACCACTGATATAATGACACCCTCCGAGGGCGACAACCTGGAAGCGTTCTTCCGTGCCTTCAACCGCAGATCTCTTGACTCTTCATTCTAAATTGACCACGCACGATTGCAAGTCCTCGAATAACAATAGCATCGTACCTGACGGCATGGAGATGTTGGGCAACGAGCCTTCGAGCACCGCTCTTGATTCAATGAACGCGCACTCCTCACACACGAAGACCTCAGGCATCTCGAAACCCAAAAGCTTCCTAGATCTTCCCGGTGGTAGGTGATGACGATGAGCTTGCCGGCACTTTGCTAATCATTGTTGCAGAACTACGTAACCGGATTTATGGTTACTGCCTCTCGGGCGTCGGACTGTCGACAGCGGTCGGTTTGGGCCATGCATGCCGAACCACTCGGTCGGAGTACATGCCTTTGTACTTTGGCTCGGTCAGGACTCGTATCCACTTTGTGCTAGTAGAACGCTTTCTCCGGACATTCTATAGTGATACGTCGGCCTTTGCTCCACTTCCCGCCTGGAAGCTAGTCGTCGGACTCAGTCGCGATCACGGCTGGGGACCAAACACCAGTATCGACCTCAAATGGCTAGGCGAGTGGCTGCGTGGTCACCCCGAGGCCGAGGTCGTTATTGAGAACAGGCCGATCAGTCTTTTTGAGGCGATTGATTATGTTCCGTCACTCTTGGGATTCGGTTTGTGGCTTAAAGATATGGATGCTCTTACCCTACGCGCACAGCCAGTGCTGTGTCGTAGTCCGTCCGGTGTGCGTAGGCACGCGCTGGATTGGGTGTTGACATTAGTCATGAAGCCAGAGGCTGCGCGCAGGATACGTTGCTGCAATCGAAACCGAGTGGACTACTTTGGAGGGATCTTGACGCGTCTGCGTCTCCGGGGTGATATTGATAGAGAGAAGATTAGCTCGCTTGAGTTCCGGGTGTCTGGCGGGGGTGAAGATTGGCAGGTCAAGATGGCTATCTAGAAGGCGTGGTGGGTACTAATGACTATGACAAAAGATAGGACGAAAGATAGCGTCGTATGCTGAAATCGGGGTTGGTGTTACCATGATACTCCAAAGGTTGTCAATGTGATGTGGTGATGTCGGAAAGAGACGTTCGAGGCCGCCCGCGGAGGCGCGCATAGAACGGCCGGCTAGCCGGATTGGAGCTGGGACTAGCGCCAATTTGCGCGCGCCAGGCCCGCTCATGCAAACATGACGGACTCAGTCTCGCACCACCACCACCATGAGGGTGCGATTGACGCCGTTGCGCCTCTTGTGCGTCGCCATAACCCTCGTGACCTTCCTCTTCACCTCCCTCGTCTTCCGGCTATGGCGGGGCGAGCGCGGCTACGACATACTGCAGGAGCGGCCCCCTCCCGCTGGGCCCGCGCCCGTCGCTCCGGTGCACTTTGGTGAGGAGTGCTCGCCCTTCACCGCCGGCGTCATGGAGCGCGTCACCATTGTGCTGAAGATTGGCGCCGGGGAAGTCGCGACCCAGCTGCCGCTGTATCTCAACCGATTGGGAAGGTGCAAGCAGGACCTGCTCATCTTCTCGGACCGCAAGGACTCGCTCAACGGCTTCGAGATTGCCGACGCCCTCGCCCACCTGCGCCCGGAGTACAAGTTCAACAACCCCGACTTTGACGTATACGACCGCATACAGGCCACGAACAGCACCCAGGACAAGACCGAGGAGGGGTGGCGGCTGGACAAGTACAAGTTCCTGCCCATGATGGAGTGGACGTCATACATGCGGCCCGAGTCGGAGTGGTATGTCTTCCTGGAACTCGACACCTACGTCAACTACGACAACCTCTACCGCTTCCTCTCCAACTTCAACCCCAAGACGGCCCACTATTTCGGATCCCCCGTTTGGCCCAAGAAGAAGACCACCTTTGCACATGGTGGGACTGGCTTTGTGCTATCGCGCGCGGCGCTGGACAAGATCATGGCGCTGGGCAGGATGTTTGGCGAGAACAAGCACTTCCCCGGGACACACTTCTTCGGCGTCGACGTCAAGAAACAGTGCTGCGGAGACGAGATGCTAGCGCAGGTGCTCAAGAAGAGCGGAGTCTCCCTCCGCGGATACTGGCCCATGTTCAACGGCGAGAAGCCCTTTAGCATGCGCTTCGACAACGAGCAGTGGTGCGAAGCCATCATGACGATGCACCACCTCGGCGAAGACGACTTCACACGACTCTCCCAATGGGAACAAGCGCGATCGCATCCCGAACGGCCACTTATGTTCGAAGAGCTCTTCACAATGATCGAGCCACACTTGCAGGAGAGGGCCGAAGACTGGTCCAACATGTCCGAAGACGTCACATATCGAAAAGGCAAGACAGCCTCCAAGTCCTTCGACAAATGCCAACGGGCTTGCGCGAAAGACGGCCGCTGTCTCCAGTTCGAACACGACGGCATCGAATGCCGCCTCGGATACTCCATCCGATTAGGCCACCACCAGAGCCGCGAAGGCGAGCGCTCATGGGTGTCTGGGTGGATGCTAGGCAGGATAAAAGCTTTCAAGCAGGCTCGCTCGCCTTGTCAGGGCGCACGTTTTGTTCATTCGAATCCTTGAGCGCAGTTGCTGAGATGGAATGGACGAAACGACGACATGATATATCTTTCCTGCACGATTTTACGGCATTGTACGGCGTTTGATACCCCAAAGGCGTTTTTGAGATGGCACGCTATTGTATATATTGTGCAGGTTGTCGGCATATACGCCATGGGTTGGAGGGGTCATGGGTGTGTTGGCAGAGACATGCCGCAATGCGACGCAGAGTAATGGAGGGAAATCTGCGCAGAGACCCTGCGGCGCCACGATCGAGTGGGCGTATGAGAATTTCGAAGGTCGATCTTTGGACGCAACGTTAGCCACGTCTTACGACGACCGACATACAGAGTGCGATCCCGTCGCACCTCAGATCGAATGATTGGGCGACTTCGGCACATCATCGGTCTGGCCCTACGCTTCATGTACACTCAAGATCTACTGCCCTTCGCGATACGGCAGAATGTAGATGACAGCCGGAAGCTATCGTGACGAGGAAACGAATTGGTATCGTAACTACTCGAGGATCATATACACCACAATAATAATCGACATTTGCAGCGACAAAGGTCTTCTGCATGCCGTCTTCTATCTGACGATTGTTACTGACGTTGTGTATCATAGGGTGTGATCATGCACAAGCGTCACGAGCGATTTTAGCAAGCTTCTCACCAAGTATAGAGACCTCCTCAATGCGCCCTGTCTCATGTTGACATAACACCGCTTTCAGCTTCACGACAACATGTCGGACCACGGTATGCACGACAACGGCAAGCACGACGACGGCAACGACATGCACGACAACGGCAAAGACATGCATGACAACGACAGTGCAAAATTCAGAAGCGAAGGACTTGAGACCGTTGAAGACTTTGTTCAAAAGCTTCCAGGACTATACGTCGCCAAGGAAGATCTTGCCAAACCAATTCCTCCTTACAACCCTGGCTCAGGCGGGAAGGACGATGCGCGTCAGGAGATGCTTGCGAAATTTCCCATGGTAAAGAAAGCTGTTTCCAAGAACAAACAGGATGCTGCTCAAGATGAAGATCGCGCAGCAGCTCACGCGTCTGGAGTTGTCACTACGTCAGGTGTTGATTCCGGAGGCCCCAACGACAGTAAGCATTCCGCCAGAAACTGCGATGTGTCTTTGAAACCACAACAACGCGCTAACCAAGATCTAGCACCGTTCCTCCATGTTTACGAGCACCATACAAGTTACGCAAAGCTGACATTTGACTCACCGAGCACCCTACGACTGCAACGCTCCAAGACGGATGCCGTCGACTCCATTATCTACCTGAAGGAACTAGAGGGCGACGCGCCAGTGTACGTTGAGTACTACCGTTTCAAAAGAGGATACACCCTGCGTTTCAACGACTGCGGTGCGACGAAAGAGATAAAATGGAAGAAGACCGCCGCGGAAAAGGAGCTGATGAAGCGCAAGTCGAAGAAGAAAGACAAGAAGACGCCTGCAGGCGACACCGAGAAGAATAAGGAGAGTGTATCATGGAACAAGGAGACACATTACTGGAAAGAACTCCATGTTTACTTTCCACAGGACCGCTGGAACACTGGCTTTCACCACGAGACTTGGACAGACGACTACAAAGTAGGATATGGCACGTACAATGAAGCGCAAGCAAAGCATAACGTACTCGCCTTCCCAGACTTCATGGACGAGTTGGATAAATGTTTCAAGGCTGAGAAGGTGGGAGATACCAAGGTCGAGGAAATAGCCCGAAAAGATGGAAAAGTGAAGAGGCAAAGAAGGAAGAAGGAAAAGGCTGGCGTGAACCCGGAGCTTCAGGACGAGCAAGGAAATAGGGTGTTTATCTTGAGGCGACGGAAGGAAGGGAAGAGGCTGGTTCCTGATATTAGTGTGAGGGTCTCGGAGGAGGAGGAGGGGCGGATCGCACGAGCGAGAGATGATCAGAAGGTGCGGGAAGAAGCTCTGCGGGCTGAGGAAGAGGCTGGAGAGGACGCCGTCAGAGAGGAGTGGGAACCTACGGCCGAGGAGGAGGATGATGATGATCAGATGGAAGAGGACGTGGACGTGAACACGAACGAGTAGGATAGGCCACACGAGCAGGATGAGAATGTGTTGAGATTTTCAGGGTTTGAGTGATTGAGATGATCCATCGAGCAAACTGTGAATGGTCCGCAGCTCGCAATCTTTTATTGGGAACATTCTTGTAGCACACTGTTCTGCCATCTGTGGTTTCCCTGCGTATAGCAGCGCCACATGGTAACCTTGGAATAGTCGGAGGGGGTCAAATGCGCGTTACCCAAAGTGGCCTAGATGCAGACGTCATCGTTCCGCTCGGAAACGCCCGGGAACTGAACGATGCACTTCAGCTGTGCACATGTCGCGACTTTTGTCGCGCCTTTACAGAGACGACCGAGATAGAGACCACAGTGTTAGTGACTAGCACGTCGACGCCCCTATTAGCATGAGCGATCGACCTCCATGCCGCATGCGATGCCACGACGCGACAGATACTGCGCCGAGACGCGCACCCGTCAGAGTGCTTAATGCTTCAGCTTAAGCATTTCCAAGGTTATGTTGTGGCATCGCGACTTCGTTGGTGCATGCGACGCAAGAGTGGTCCTCGATGCTACGTCAACATAGTACAGCTGCTGCTGCAGGGGCCGCCGGACCGCCGTTTTCACGAGCTGCGATGATCATCTTGGGGAGCGGAGAAAGCTCGACGAAGGAAGAGTGTCATTATTCATGCCTATGTAATGCATCGTGGCGAGCGTCACAGCCTTGCTGGATTGGAAAAGTGGGTTTCACCCAAGGTACCCTAGGTATGTACAAGAACGTAATGAAGTTTGCCCCCCTACTGGGAAGGCTCTACTGGCTCCCAGTGGTCGAACCAAAGGTGATCGAGGAGATCAGACCCATTGCCCGCGAACGAACGAGCACAGCCGCGGACGTGGAGTGGGCATTTCCAGCGAAAGCCATCGGCACATCCCTCCATGTGGATGGCCGTGAAGTGAGTTTCGAACCCGGTCTTCGAATCCCAGTATTTCCTGGTGCTTTCCTCATGAGGCTTGCACTTCCATCCATTGCCTGGGCAGCCCCTTCGGACAATGGCTTGTTGTGCTGGCTCTTTGCCTTTGCGTGAGGCACGCGGCTTTTTGGAGGCTTGAGGCGGAGGGGTTGTCTCGTCAGAGGGTCCGGCATTCGTGCTCGGGCGTGAGTCATCGATGGGTTCGCATGCGACATTCGGGGGCGGCTCGATGAACGGGTGGGCTGAAAGGTGCACTGAGAATCATTAGTGTCGTATCGTAGTATAAGCCAGATCTACTGACAGACGTGTAGGATCCTTCCAACAAGCTCCTCCGCGGGGATCACCGCCATGATAGCGAGGTCTTGGAGGTTACCAGACAACGCCATGAACGCGAGCCCAACGATATCGTTGGACCACACCATATGCTTGAAGGTCTCGACATAGTGGAAGATGAACTCTAGAGTTGCGCCTCTCACCAAGAGAGCAAATATGGCCTGGTTCTGCTGAGCGAGGGAGGGGGAACCAAGAGTTGCCATGATGGAGTCCGTGCCCTGGATTGACTCGTACCCGTACGGCGAGCCCAAGTACGATGGTGTGGGCGGTGTGGCCTGGTTCGAACCTTCGCCTGTGCTGGAGTCCATGTCCATGGTCGGGTTGTACTCCATTGCAGTGCCGGGAGACGGAGTCGTCGGGTTAGGGAAAGCCATGATGCCGGACGGAGACAAAGGAGGTTTACTTGACGGATGTGCGAGTTTCGGCGTATTGTACTCGGCAAAGTTCGCGTAGGTTGTCGAGGAGTTTGGCGTGTCCAAGGGCAGGGAAGGAACGTGATGGTATGGATGAACGTGGGGTATAAATGTTAACGATAGTGAGCGAGAAGTTGAGTTGACAGGCCACCGGGGCAGTGGTAGAGAGATTGTAGAATGTATCAAAGGAATGTGTTAGATCTCAAAGATTGCGAGAGATGCAGAGCAGGTCAGGATTTCGGGCTAGGTGCCGGCATTGAGGATCATATATACCCACAGGGCCTGTGGTGTTGTCCATGGCGGTTTCTGCGAGCTTTGCTATGGTTTTCGGCGGGGAAGAGACGGACAACAAGCGGTGATGGCAGTGGGTATGGATCGTAAGAAAGTAAGCTTCATTAGGCCAAGGCTTTACCCCTTCTGGGTAAGCATGTCGCTTGGATCAGCGCGCCACGATAAGCATCGACAACGACGTCCATAGTGTTGATGTCAGTTCGTGCCGGGCCCGTACCAGTACCACTGCGACGTCGCTAGCGAGGCATCCAGACCCCAGCTTTCGCAGGTGCTAGTCAAGCCCGTGTCCGCCGGCCGGTTAATCATTGAAGATCTGGACCCACTTAGGAAGAACCGTGTTTGCAATTGCCATGTTCTGTGAATCACTTTTCCCTGCCGCAAGCCCGACTGTGGTACGCGTGGTGCTACTGTAGAGAGGCGTTGTTGGCGTCTTGTCACGACGCATCATCCCCTGGGCTAGAGCTCGGCGGACCTAGCAGTTGTCATGCGCCTGCGGGACCTGACCGAAATTATCGCTGCGCATCTCAGCATTGACTATCAACCTTAGTGAGCTATTCGTGAACGTGCGATAAGTTCGCTGTTAACCAGACTTTGCGAGGAAACTCGCGATATAGCTCACTTTGTCGCAACTTGGACGTTTCCATCGTGGATACCACAGTCATGGTCGCAGCTATCGCTATGCTATGTAGCTATGTATAAGAGCTGTACGGCTACTTCTAGATTTGGAACCAGTCATCCCCATCTTCATCGAAACAACATTCACAAACTTCCCGTACGCAAAATGAGCTGCATCACACCGCAAAACATGTCTTCTCTACTACGAGACGCCAGATTCCCCATCTCGGTTATCGCCAATTGCACCGCGGCTGCTCCAGCTCTGGACCGCGAATGGCCCAACGGCGATACGTGGGTAACTCTCGCCGTGGGGGTTGTGGCAATCATCGTGGCGGTACTCCAGCTATTATTTGCGACTCGGATCGCTGACGCGATCAGCCAATTGTAGGTTGACTTCGCTAGTAACACTATTCTGGGCTGATCTTGATGACAGAACGCCGGGACCGAGATCCCCGACGACGTGATTCTGGGATGCCATGCGCTTGAAAGCGAGATGTGCGGGTCCATCACTTGGCTGTGACGTTTTGGAAGGCTTCAGAGATGATCAAACTAGAGGTGTTATGTTGGCTCGATTGATATGGCTCATTCGCAGCTGACCAGGGTTCACGATCCGTCAAAAATGCTGGACAGACGGCGCGGACGGCATGGCGGCCTCTAAAAGATTACCGTTAGGGATGCACTAGCTCAGCTTAGTTTCAAAACGGTGGCGCACCTCAGCCCAGAGTTCTAATACACACGACTCCACTTGCGCGCTCCGTGACAAAATGCATGAGCTGGATAAGGACGCCTAGCCACGTCGACTCCCATTGATAGCCTTTTTGTAAATGACATGGTGTATGTCTTGCCAAGGTGAGGAATACGAGCTGGTGTAGATCTTGCCAACCTTGGAGGATGGCGAATACCAAATCATCTGCGGACCCACTCGTCCGATAAATCCAGCTCAACATGATGTCGCTCGACGTGCCGCACAAAGCCAGGCGTTAGACTATGTTGTCAGTGCTTTGGGTCGATGCTTGGGGCGCAGAACATCACAACCACTCGTCTTTCAGATCTTCGTGTATCGTATGTGAAGACTACAAGGCCATTGCGCATTCGGGATTTGCGAAAGGCGAGTGAGGTATCGTACGCGTACGCCAATCGCGGGACTACGGCATGGAGCCCGTTCTCTCGACCTATCCTAGTGACTGGAACGAGCGGGGGTGCAGGTACGTCACCCCACATGCGGGAACTAGCAACTCATCTTGAACCTGTTTGCAGCGTCCTGTCCGCAGCATGTGGAAGAAGGCGGTGAAAGTCTTCGTTTAGCGCCCTTAGATCAGTCCTCGCATGGAACCCAAGAGGAGACTGCGGGTTCTGACTACGCATTCTCGTGTTTCTGGATTTCAACTCAGTTACTTATCGATGCTGTCATCAGCGGGTGGCCGGTGTTTTGACTCGTGTCATTTCGTCGCTTTCTTCATCTCAACAATAGCTTCCTCTAAGACGACTAGCAATTGATGAAACGCTCATCTCGGCGGCTCTCCGTTACCCGAGGTTATGAAGCGCCGAAGCTGAGGTGTTCCCAAAGAAAGCGAGAGCAGCCCGCTATGTCGGCGAGCTTCATCGACAGGCATTCAATGGAATGCTATAATTATCTGATAGACAGGGTAGCCACGTGGGAAGGCGATATCTTCTCGTGCTGCAGGTTGATGTCAGGCTCTAGGCTCAATGTGACGTAGCTCCAAACGGACGGCCGCATCATCCAGGGGCTGCCGTTGATCGCTTCCCCCTGTCTCAACTCCGAATCTCCGCCTTGGAAGGCCCATGGTGCACGTCTACCACGATTTTCCTTTTCTTTGCCTTATTAACCGAGACTCTCTTAGACCCTTGCCCGGAGGAAAACCCTGATTCTAGTCCCTGAGTAGTCTCACGCAGTGTCGGCGCGACTTGAGTTGTGACACCACGTTACTCCCACATTCGGAGATGAATCATGGGATGCCTTGATGTAGTCAGTGTGTCGTCATTCTGATGATGTCGCCCTTAAGCCTGATGGACTGTTGCTGGGAACACGATGCGTTCCTTATACCTGAATGCCGTTAGGGATAGCGTGGAATCGAATGTGTTGTGTATGATTGAAGATGTCTGTATGTAATTGACGGGAATGAGTAGAGTTGCGCAGCTGATCTAGACGTGCTGTGTATGAGAACCCTCCCGTTCGTCAAAATCGACGCCCACGGGTGCCCTGGACAGCCGTCACCGACTTCCGCTGCTCGTGAGCTGCCGACTATGATGCGCATCGCGCCGACGCGTTATCCCGTACTTGATGTTTCTGCCTATTTCATCACGTGTTGGTTAGCTAATTTCCGAGGTCGGCGTTGCGTTCTTGTCGTCTCCTTTAGGGCTATGGTCTGTTTCCATCAGATCGCATGTATTTCGATGTATCATCATATCCACACCTGTGCATGCTATTGACCTTACATGGCGCGGGGAATTCATCGTTGTAGGTGTGACTTCTGATGTGGATTTTTGGTGTTGGGAATCGGAAAGTGGGGTCTCAGTCAACGACACCGGCATGCTGATGCTCGACGTCATGCCGCCCAGACTATGCTACATTGGTCCTAGCGCTGGCACGCATGCAATTCAACTGAACAATCATGAAGGCTATCAACTTGCGCTCCTTAGCTTCCCAGGGTTGCTCTTTACGGAACCCATACCATCCAACATTCATCGCAAACCTTCAAAGACCGAACACTTTCTTCCATTGAGTTCCCATATCCTGTAAAGTACACACGACCTCAGTGTACACCGCACTCTGGAGCGCTTCGCCATGGAGGTCATCGTCACAGGAGAAGTCGCAATATAGACATTTGCGCACGACTTGCAGGTACCGCGAGCCTAAAGTCGTGATCGAATGATGTTGTTCATCAAGCAGCTTTCTCGCCGCGATGATCTCACGGGTTTGAGGTGATCCCTCCAGCTGCGGCGTCGTGCTATCCGTCTGAGCACAAATCTCTAGTAGCGCGACGCCGAGTTTAGCTAGCGTCAGGTTACGGATGCCGAAGTTATGCTTCAGATCAAGGGAGGATTGTTGTGATACACTGTCCGGCGAGGTCGTATCTGGGAAGCGGTTGCTCAGATGCAAGCTGTCCAGTGCATTGGATACATTGTTCGCGTCGGCTTGAGATTGATCCGTGAAGTATGCTACATCTTGAAGAGTCCATGCTTGCGGCAACCAAGAGGTTGAATGATATTGGAGAACAGCCTCAGCCAATTTTTGCGCGAGTGTGATCTTTTGCAGGATCTGGAAGCGTTGCACGAGGTTCTTGATCGGTAGCGCTCCTTGTCGACGGCTGCAAGAAGGTACATCATTAGTTGCGAGCTTGCTGGCATCGTAGAACATGAAGCGGGTTGTTGGCTGACTCTTTGCGACTTCAAGAAACCCAACGCAGCTATCTTGACATGCCGATGTAGATGAGCGCACTCTCGTTACATGACAGCATACGCTTTTTGTTGTCTTTAGATCTAGCATGACGAAAGATTGGGCTTGTGTAGCTAACGTGTGGCTTGTTGGTGGTGCTCGAACACATTTGATGTTGTCTTTGGGATCATTGATTCGGACTCTTTTCTTCGACTTGGCTTTGATGGGCGGTGTTGGGGTCTTAGCTTCCGACGCGTCGTTGATCCCACAACGAAACGCGTTCGCTAGTGCCTGTGGAGGTAACGTTGGAGCCGTACACATCGCGAGGGATGTAATGGACCGAATTTGCAGCCATATTGGGACGTTGCTAGATGGACTACACATCGTCGTTAGTCAACAGCGCTTCTACTTCCTTTCGGGCCGTGAAGGGTACCCGCTCTGACATACTTCTGGAATGCCGTATTCGGCTTTGGCTGGCAAGCGATGACAACGTCGAGTTGCACGTTATCGTACTCGCTTTTGGCGTCGAGCGATAACTTCGCCTGGTGTCCACTGTGGGAGGTGTTCGTGCAAGACCACGAGTCGTGAATGGACTCTCCTAACTGTTGTGAGGCGACGCGGATCTGCTGGTAGCTCCTTGGCACGGCTTTGCGGATGATGCAAGCCGAAGGAACATTGCGACGCTTCTGCATTTTGCGCCTCTGCTTACACAACTTGCCCAGCGACTTATTCCATCTGTCCAACGAATCAAGCTGTCGGAGGTACTCGTTCTCCTTGCGAGCTGTATTGAACGCGTTCCAAAGCTTCCGTGCGAACTCGTGTCGGGACTGTTTTGCGTTACCCAGGCTATTCTCGAGCTTGGACAGGCTGTTCCGTGTCTCACGAAGGATATCGCGTTGTCGCGTCGCGATGCTCTCGCATAGCTCGTAATCGTGCTGCATCAGATCTCGCAGCCGCTGTTCGATCTCCTTTCTTTGTTCCTGCCAGCTCCTATGGGTCGGGTCCTCCATCATCTCAGAGACATCGCTCGGATGGGCGATGGCAGCCTGCAGCAGATGGCGGCATTCGTTGCTAAAGTTCGCTGCTGCTACTTCGAATCTCAGCTGGATGTCGTATGCAACTTCCGCGTGTCGTGAGAAGGTCGCCAATGTGCGCTTGGCCGTGCCGTATGACTTCAGAATCTCGACAACAATGGGCACAACACCGAAAACTAGACCTGCGATTTCGATGCCGGACATGGTGTGAAAGATGAGTCTCAAAAGACATGGGGGTTGATGAGTCTCGGGATGCGCACTCTTCCAAGGTTGATTGAGCGAGGCGCAGTTTGGCCCCCAATGCGATAGGCGGCGCATACCCCTCCAATGCGCAGCCCGTTCACGTGTGGCTGCTCAGCCGTGTCGGCATCCTGGCAAAAGCTACATGATCTCAGCTGGTGCGCATGTCCTTATCCATCGTCTTCCCGCCCTTGAGCATCTACTGACCGTGCCCGCTGGTTTCTAATCAATCTAAACACAGTGGTTTGATCAGAGCGCAGCGGGCTCGCAAAGTGCAGATCGCCAACGAAATCTGGGCAAGCTCTTTGCACGCCCTCGACGCAGAGCGGGCATTGAAGAGAGAAAACGCGCGTTGCCATAGCCAGGAGCCTCGGGAGGGGGGTTATCGCGCGTGAAGATCGGGGTGTCCCAGGTAGTCGGCGCGCATGCTTCCACCAAAGAACCGTCGTAATGCATCGGCTACGGAAGAAGGCGGCTTGGTGACGGAGCGCCGGCAGGCTGAAATGGAACGCGAGCAAGACACCATGTCGTCGCCAGCGATCGAGCCAACAACTTCGTCTACAACACAATTACTGGCAAGGTCTCCGGGCGCCCATATCATCTCCGATTCCGATTCAAAGAACCACCCACCGGTCCCTTTCGGTCGCGCAGGCAAAATCGCTCCTCCGGAAACGTTATCTAAGGTTACTACAGCTCCTTGGAAAGATGAAGGCTGTCTTTGCTATCAAGTCGAGACTAGGGGTGTCTCCGTAGCTCGTCGCGACGACAATCGCATGATCAACGGCACCAAGCTGCTCACATTGACTGGTATGACAGCAGCACGCAAAGGCGATTTGCTGAAGAGGGAGAAGACTAAACACGTGGTCAAACTCGGGCCAACACATTTTAAAGGCGTCTGGATTCCGTTCGAGCGTGCCTTGGAATTGGCGAACGCAGAAAAGGTCGTCGACTTGCTATATCCCTTGTTCGTGGATGACATTGGGTCACTCGTATGTCAGACTTTGCATCAGAAGCTCACGCCTTATGTCGACTTTCAACCCCAATTCGAAGACGTGAAGGAAACGACTAGGAGTAGCAAAGCTAAATCAGCTCACTCTTCTGTGAAGAAAGAGGAAGACGAGGTTTTACAAGCGCTCGCCCTGGACACTTTGCAACATGTCGAACTCCAGGAGCTGGGAATTCTTGGGTCACTATTCAGATCTCTCACAGAGATGCTAGGACTCATCATGAAGGAGTTTAGGAGCCAATCTAGTGATGCCAGGCATTACATATCTCTAGAGTCAACCTGCGCAACTTTGTTATTCTGGGGTACCGACCTTGGACTGCCGCGAGGCGAGCTTGACGATGTGCTTAAGGGCTCTCCCCAGCTGCGCAACACTTGCCTGGCCGTTCTTGTATCCATCTCTCGATTTGTGAGCACCTGTAGGTGAACTTCACTCATACCACTGTATCACCTTAACGCTAACACGAGTCAGCTTTGATACACCTTGTGATCAGCGAGCATCATCGTAAAGAGATTTTACAGTCTACCGATGTTGCGACCGTTCTGGAACAAGTCACGGACATGATTGGTCGACAACATAATTTCGCTTATCAGCCCGAGCAAGATGCGGAGACGATGTGTCACACCCTTCGTACGAAGATTGATACACTGATCATGTTGGCACCCAGCCTGGAATCACCGGCTGGAGAAATCTTCGACGAAGAGAAGCCTCGTACTATCCAAGACATTGGAGAGACCCTACCGGAACAGGCCTACGCTAGCAGTGTTGCAGAAAAGTACCCTTTCGCTCCACCAGAAATAGTGGCCCAACTTGGAAGATTGAACTGGGATCGATATAATCACATTCTTCGTCTGCAACGGGAAGCAATGGAGCAGGAGCTTCAGACGACCACTGTAGAGAAAGCGAAAACGGTCTTCCATAACTCCGGCCTTGGAATCTCGGTGCCTGCACAATCCGAAGTGGGGTTAAACGCAGATCCGGCCTACGAACCTTCGATCACGTCCAGCAGAGCTGAAGCGAGTCACAAGCGTGTGCCTCCAATGCCAGCCCAAGCGCGGTCTGGCGAGCCTTTCACATGCGAGATTTGCGAAAAGCAGGTTCAGTTTCGACGGACCAAAGCTTGGAAGTGAGTTGACATATATCCATGTCCCTTGAATTATACCAATGCTGACTACGTTGCCTCAGAAAGCATGTGTTTGAAGACATTTTAGCATATGCTTGTTTCTTTCCCGAATGCCACGACACCCACGTCTTTTTCGAGAACGGCGAGGGGTTGATGGACCATCTACAGGATCACCATGGCATGGACATTCGAGTCTCGAATGTTACATGTCCCCTGTGTGTTGAGTTTACATCCGCGGACCGAGAAGTTTTAGCACTCCATATTGCGCGTCATATGGAAGAAATCGCTCTTGCAATACTACCTTCCGGTGTTGACTCGGACGCTGAATCAGCAGATGACGCAAGTCATGACAGGGTCGTTCCAAGCAGCCTAAATCGCGTGTCTGAGGTAGAAGTAGGGGAAAGTAGACATGGGTCGTCTTACGATTCATCAGCTGCTGTATGCGACGATGCTATACCGATGGACCCAGGTACTCCCTCTATAAATACGAGGACAAATTTAAAGCCATCATCGTTTGGACACCTCAAGGCTCCGCTTACCAATGCATGGCACGACGAGAGCGGTGTTTCTTGGATTGCGTATGAGTACTCTCTGGATGGAGTCAAAACAGAATATCAGATACGACACGACATCGACAAAGTTGACATCGACCGTTTGCCTCATGGGTTCAAGGTAGACAACTGCATCTATCCTCAAACTCTGGTTAATACACATCAGTGCAAGGATGATGATCAGGACGAAAAGAAAATATGGAACGCGATTGGCTGGGCGCTGGCTGAGCTGAATCCGTCCCTCCAAGGACGACGGGGAGTACTTCAAGGAGCAGCAAGAAGTGCTTTCCCTGAATTGATTCCTCATAACAAGCACATCGCTAGCATTCTCATCCGGAGATCACGTGCTTGTGACGCGTGCAAGACAAGGAGACGAGTTTGTAAACCACAGGAGGGTGGTGTATGCGAACGGTGCGCGAGACTCATGAGACTGCCCGAAAATAAGGGCAACCAGATGTGTACATTCACTGCGAACTGGCGCTCCTTGAAAACAGTCAAATCCAAGAAGCCGAGCCTGTCTGGGCAACAACTAGAATGGCAGCCCGGACAAGCTAATGCACAGAAGGAAAGCCCTGTATGCGCCACGGAGCTTTCGTAAACACGTCCCTTTTAGGAGCCTCACGTAAATAGCCATCTTTGACGTTGTCAAATGACGGAACCAATCTTGTGGGTGGGGTGATGGGTGTACGACCTTATAAAGCATCGATGGAGAGACTACCAGGTGTGGGATTAGCCTGCCAGAGGATTGTTTAGGCTTTCCCGTTCACCGTTAGCTTATGATAGTGCGTTTGTCTTCAGTTATACATCTGCTTGTAATGTCCATCCATGTCATTACTCTCTTCCCGAATTTGTCAATTTGATGACGGCCGCTACGATGTACTGCATAGAGAACTTTAATCCTACCATCATGGGACAATTCTGTCTTGACAAAGTGGGCTACCATAGCTTGCGGAAATCGCTGTCTAACGCTTTTTCATAAGCGCGGATCGTCGCTGTCTCATACATGATGTTAATGTGCGGGGGTGACATGTGCTCACACCGATGCTAAAGCGCCGTGCAACTTTGTTCGCAGTCCTCGCGCTACATCCCCATAGATTTCCACCACTGCGCTATCAACGAGTTACCCTGTTGAATTCAAGCGATGCACCGGCAATGAGATACATCGTCACCATCATGATCTAAGAGCATGTGCCCAACACGTAGTATGATGACATCCGGTCAACCTCGTCTCCCACCTACTTCCCGGAGCTTTTACGCATACTTCCTCCCCTTCCTCAACGGCGCAACATCCCCGTCCGCCCGTCCAATCGCCAACCTCCCGATCTCACCGCCCTCTTCGACATCTCCAAAACGTATGCGCACATCCTTCAGCAACCGCGATCGATCAGCTGCATCGAGATATGTCCCCGTCCCCGGTATAGCTACATAAGGATTATCTCTCGCAGCCAGACTCGAGAAGTTCATGAGCACGTCTGGGCCATGCGGGAGAAAGGTGCGGAGGTAGAACGGCACCAGACTCGCTACGATGAGCACGGTCGACGAGACGATAAGCGCAATGACCCAGCCGAAGTGCGCTTTGAAGACCTCGACGTTACTGCGTCTTGTTCCTGTAGTCAGCCATGTTCTTGCTAAGATGAACGCGTGGTTTTGAGCTCTGGCGTCCATGTTCTGGATATCATCTTGATCTTGATGGTACCAAGAAAGATTCACATTCGGTCGAGAGGTGAATATGTCAAAATTCCCCATGAGCGAGCGTTTGCCGTTCATTGTCGCCCAATGTGCATTCAGTACCTGACTGAGATGTGTGATCAAAGACGCATCATCAGCCACCAAGGAAGTCCCATCCTCCACTCCTAAGATGTACTCGGGGTCGTCGAGATATCTTCGGGAGAAGATTGTCATGCCCCATTCAGCAGAACCGTTAGCCACGGAGTCCTCGTCATCCCCGCGGAAAGCGTCAATTGGTTCAGCTCCAACGTACATAGCTGTGAGTGAATATTCCCAAGGTGTGTTCTTGAATCCTATCAGTGGACCCAATAGGGTGTGTGCTGCCGGTGGGTGTGCGAGGCGAGAGCGTCGAATACGAACCGCAGCACAGGCATCGTATGTAGAGCATGCGACTTCAACCTCCACGTACGTCGTTTCAATCGTACACTTCAAGTTGCGACGTGCCGTCTGAATCGCGAAAGCGAAAGGCTCAACTTGACCAGGAGGGATCTCGGCGCGTTGGGTGACATTCTCGTTCCAATACAAGTCCCCTAGCCACCTTACGTTGTTGAATTTATGCTGGGCTGCCCAATCGTCGGAATCATCGAGGAATCGATCACATTCCAGATGAAAGTACTTCGCCTGGATCGTGGTGGAGTAGTCAATGAACTCCGGTGAATTCATTCCACTTATGGGAACACCAATGAACGAAGAGTAAGATTCCAGAGTGCTGTTTTCTGTACTGTACCAGCCTCCATCCCCGAGAGGGGATGTGCTTTCGTAATGCTCGATCCGAGGTACCTTGACGTGACCCCAGGTATCGCGTTGAGAGCCTTGTGTAGTAGTCTGACTCATGAGGGCAGCGAGGTAAGAGCTGTCCAAGGTGGGCTTGAACAATTCGTAATCAGGCAGCCACAGCCACGGGCTAGGCACGACGTAGAGAAATTCCGCATTTTCAGGAAAGTCTTTTGGCCCGTAGCTTATCTGTCGAAAAGATGCTTGACCGCCCACAGGAGACAGTATCCATATAGCTATGAGACCGACGCCTACGTAGCTGATGGCTCGGAGTTGCAACTGTGAGACCACGGTGCTGGTGAGCGAAGAGCTACTAGCAAGTGTGTCCAAAATGCCGATTCGTTCGCCTTTCCCAAGCCTCCAAAGCAAAATTGCAAACGTCGCTCGCCCAACCACAGAGGCAAAGAGTATAGGATAAATTGTCGGGCCCTAGGTCTGATGAGCGAATGAACAATCTAACACGCCCGAACTTGTACGAACCCATATTGAAGCTTGTTTGATCCTCCCAGCTGCATCCTGGTGGCGGCTAGTGGGTTTACCGTTGTACCAGATGACGAATAGAGCAAAGGAAAGGAATGCGAGTGAGAGAAGCAGGAGGAGAAGATCAATAAGAATCTTCCAGGCGGTCGTACTGAAGGAGTTCTTGACGGGTCGCGGTGATGTCGGCCAGCCGAGAGAGAGGTCAGATTGCTTCTCAAGCAGAGGAGCGTTCGGTAGCTCATCGTTTAAAGCAGTACTCGGTACTCTCTCGCGTGAGCTGCGATCGTCTGAGTTGGCAGCATCTCGCTCGTTGTGGTGAAGGAGTTCCAGCTGAGGTGCATCGGTACTGATCCGCGACTCATGACGTATTCGTTCCTTACTGTTGGCGAAACTGAGTTCAATTTCAGAAGTGCTGTACTGGTCCTTGTTCTGCTGTGTGGTCGCCATATCCCAGGAGCAAAAGCAACAGGGCGATAGTCAACAGTTTGTAACTGGAGAGGGTGCATTATGTAAATTAGCTTGTAAGCCCACGGAACGAACTAGACGGCCTTTATGTACGTGCAGCACAACAGTGTTACATAGCAACGCCACAGCCGCATCTTTTGGCTGACAAGGCTGTATTGAACCTCGGGATAAGTCCTATTTGGGTGGCATTTTGCGCAGCAAAAGCAATTAGCAACAGCTAGCCGACTTACTTGCAATCTGCGTCGTCTCCAATCAGAACATCAGATGCCCGGAGTAAGTGGAATGTGTGAACATTTTCAGCGTAGCAACAGTAGCGTTCGATGTAGCCGCCTGTCACAGCCCACCGCCCCAGACGATCACGGCTCAGAGATTGCGAGTCAGCCGCCCAAGACTCGCTGCGCAGTACCTGGGAGACTGACTGGGAGGCTCACACGCTGTGTCTATCCGTGAGGCGTTACCATGCCGCTGCGACAAGTCCACTCGGTTATGGATTGCGCAATTGTGTTTGCAACGCGTTGTAGAGTAGGATTTGAGGGTACATAGTAGCGCTGGCGAGGGCGTTGTGCAGCCGCCCGGGTGGAAGCCTGGCAATCAGGCCTCCCGACTCCCCATGCCGCAGCGCCATACAGTGCTGCCCTTAGTAAGATTTTCAACCGCCGCCTTGCTTAGAATTACGGGCACTATAACGTCAAATAAGCCAATCAGCTAGACTTGCTGAGTGTGGTAGATACGGCTAATTAGCACCTCCTACTTGGCGGTTGATAGGTAACATACTGGGGACACGATAGGTAGTACACGGATTGCGCGACTCAATGCGAACCTCAATATAGATCATAGTCGATGGAGCGACTTAAAAGCCTTCAATAATGTATCAAAATCCCAGAGTTGATGCCAATCTAGCAAAGCGTGAACAGAAGATGTGTTGGAGGTCTTGTCAGGCGCCTCCTCAGGGCTGGAACGCGATCACGTGATGCTTGGCAAATGCAATTGCCGAACCCCCGACAATCTAGGTCCTTCCATTTTCGCTTCCGCAGCAGCTAAATCGCCGAGCGATGCAAGGCGTCCCGGCGGAAACCTTCATTGTTATACCATCACGACACAACACTACTGGATTCACGACGACGGACTGCAGACTGCGCTCTCACATCATGTCGCAAAAAGATGGTGATCGGTATTGCTCGTAACGCGAAACCTCCTGCCTGGCAAGAGATGGCAGGCTGGTCATGGGCGCGCGATAGGCTCTGTCTGGCTCAATAACGCCACAAGTGCTGTCCACGATATGCAGCCCCCGCGCCATTCGAAAGGCTTGTACGCGAACTCAGCTGTCTTCAGCTGAGACTTTAGCTCTCCTAGCAGATACATTGTTGACATGTTAGGGTTGACAATGCCTCCATCCTGGCCTTCTTCAACCTCGCTTCCGAATCACTCACGCAATCTTATATCCTGACTGCAGCAACTGGCGGCTAAATTTGGACAACGGATATGTAATATGGCGATCGGATGGCAGCCCCGACTTACATCGCTACTCTTGTTGTACGGCTTGTGCTGGCTTTGACAAGCTCTGATCGCTAACCCGCATGATCAGGCTACTCTTCCAAGTTATCAATATTGCGAGCGACATAGTGTTCTTCAGAACGAAGGTAAACCTATCGCCAACGAATCTCGAAAATGAGCTACCTGAGCCAAACCCTGGGCGGCCTCTTGACGCATCATTGACCAACAAAGCGAAGAGACTTCTTATGAAGGCTGATATAAGTCGAGTTTTCATCCCGCTCCTCTTTACTACACTGAGTGTGGTAATAGTATCTGTGCTCTTCTCTGGCGCAAGCGACACATATCGCGCCACAGAGGATGCATGTAGCACGAAGCCGGATGCCGACATCAGTGGTGTCGGCGTACGCGCCTCTATCTGGGGACAAATTGCAATGCTGATCTTAATCAGTAGCTCGGGCCACCTCCATAAGAAAGAGACAGCAATAAAAGAAGTCGCAGGTGGCCTGATTCTCACACATGTTTCCCTCGCCATCGCCATTATTGTGCAGATGTACAAAAAGACATTGACATCCGTCGATGCGGCGATCGGCGCAGTTATCTTGGACGCCCAAAACATCGCTCTACTCATTCCTGTCACTGCCAAACAGACCCTCGCCGCTCGATGGCAGGTGCTCATACTTATACCAGCCCAGATCCTCGGTCTAGTATTCCTGCCAGTGCTGGTGGTCAAGTTCACCAAGGGAGGCTTCGCATCGCAAGACTGCAAGTGTCTTACTATCTTCTGGTGGTCCCGGTTAAGCGATTGTAACGCCTTCTCCGGTAACGAGCTTTCTCTCTTCTGGATCTATTACACGCTTCGTTGGATGATGTGGATCCACTCGTCCTTCCATTCTTTGTACAACGCCGAGTGGTTCCACAGATCTGAGAAAGAAGGGCGCATTCCAATCTTGAACCGCGATGGTACAAAGCCAAAGACGTATTGGGAGAAGGCTATAGCTCTAGCGCGTGAACTGCGGGATTCAAATCGACAAGTAACAAAGGCTACTCTACAGGCTGGCCTGCTGTATAGACAATACTCTGCGACGATATCAGTATCGTATACGGCATACGCTCTATACTCGCTCACGTCTATGGTAGTTGCCGAAGTTACCATTGGAGAGTACAACCTCCAACCAAGCTCTAACGCCAACTCGATCGGTCAGATAATTGCCGTCGTGGTCTCGCTCGCTACTCTCCTTCGAGTCGTTTGGAGCTTCCAGAGCCTCTATAATGACGCCGAGAATAGTTCATTCCCGGACTTCATCTTCTCATTGCTTTCGCGGTCCCCGTCGAGTTGCTGCTTCGGCTCAAATGTAGAAGAGGCGAGCGAAGATCCAGCTCCGATCTTGTCGAGACCAGATGAAGAAGAGCGTGGGAGGATATCAGATACCGATAGTGGACATGATGGCTCAGGAGGATCGCTACCTCCGCAAACTCCCGCACGATCTTCACAATCATCCCATGGAACGGTTGGCCCACCTGATCAAGCTCTTGGGCCCAATCCTGGATCACCTCACCCAAGTAACAGCAGAAATTCCTCCGATAGCACCAACTTGCCAAAGACGCAGCCACATTTGCCTTTGGGACAGAACGGTCGAGCACAGCGACTTTCACCGAATCGTGCAGTGCCACAGCCAAAACGAACCGACTCTTACGGGCCAGCATACCGATTCGAGTTTCGCCAGCCATTCCATCTAGATGCTGTCAAGCTGCTCTTCCTGCCTACAGTTACCCAATATCTGGAGGCTCGAAAAGACTCAAAGGCTACAGTTCCGATCAGCGAGACTATGATTCCGCCACTAATAACGCCCCCGACACCTGATCAGCCAAGTGCCTGCATACCACCTGAACAGCTACAACAGGACACCGGTAAGAAGGAAGCTTCTCCGCCGCGTCTGGTCGTAGAAGCTTCGACTTCCGCCGATGACGAATACCCCGTTATGACTAGCGCCAAGCCCCCAGATTCGTTGCACGGCAACAGAATGTCAGAGACGAGCGGCTTCGATTCGACTGATCAGCCACAAAATGGCCAGGTACTCGCAGAATTACACCCACAATCTGCTATACGACGTGATATGACCCCAGCACCGATCTCAACCCTCCCTGGACCACAGAAATACGAGCCAACCGCTGCTCAAAAGTCCGAAGAGCAACAACCTGCATCCCTGGGATTCCCAATACAGATGCCAGAGGAAGGACGCAAAGGTACACAGTCCGGTGTGCCGCAAGGTGACGTCTCTAAACACATAGTGAAGAATATTCCGGCGCCAGAGTGGCTCTTAGGTCAGGGGCGAGACTTTGTTACCAATCCAGTTCTTCCGTTTTTGAATCGCACCAACATAGGCCTGGAGTCAAAGATAGGGCACCCTGGTATCGCAGACCCGTCAGAAAGTGGCGAAGGATCACAAAACTCGGACTCTCAGTCTGAGAAGAGTCGTACATCAATCAGAAGTGTTGATCAGATCGACATAGGGCCTGACATGGACGACCCACGGACGATAGACTAGTCTGTAGATCCCATATACCACAAGAGATTGTAGCTTGAGGCTCCAAAATCTTCGCTCAACGAGGTGGACGAAACTCTGCCAGAAAGGCCGACACGGAGCCGTGCGTCTCGTCAATGGGATCGCGTTCTGATGGATTTAGGCATCATCCACCGCAGACAATTACCACATGGCTTGCTCGAGCGCTGGGTTGCCCGAAAGTGGCGCCGCGTAACACAGGAAGCGAAAAGAAGAAAGAAGATTCCTTATGAGCCTGACGTGCGATCCGGATGTCCCGGCATTTCGAGGTTATGTAAAAAGGGACCAACTATCTGGGAAGATTATCCCCCATTTAGGACACACTTCGAGACCCATTTAAAAGATCCCTTTTACAAAAACCGTAACATTCTGGCGTGCATATCATGTTTAAGGTCTATTAGATCCACATTTGCCGATCCGGTTTTTTGGGATGTTGAGTCTGATACATCCACATATGCCAAGCTGGTTTTTATGGATGTTGAAGATCTCGTATGGCACATCTGGGACAAACACATGCACAAGGTGGAACGCGACCCATCATCGCCACCGCTAGCGAAAGCAGAGCAGGGAAAAGGGAAATCAGCGGAGGCTTCAAAGCTCGAAGCCAAACAGCCCATTGATGCTGAAATGGGTGAAGCGGGTGGATTGGAAACCACTATCGACCGCAATGTCTTCTAGCTCCATTCATTATCTTCCAATCCTTCAACTTTACGAGGGAATCTTACCGCGTCGGCTTCAACCCTGTTTCTCGTTATCAGTACTTGCCGTAGCAACCTACAATTCTTGCGCTTGCCTTTCACGCGCACGCAAAAGCTCTGAATACACAATTCCAAATTACGCGCAATCGTGTCGAAATGTCTCTACGCCCTGCAGTCCATGTCATTCCCGCCATCGCACATCTAAGATAAAAGCCAACATAGCTATCAATACACCAACGTACATTCCCCAAGTCCTCTTAATCATCATACCGCGTGTTTAACAGCATACTTATCTTTCCGCACAACCAGCGCTACCCCAACAACCACTAAAAGCCGCAGAACACCTAATCCCAAACCCGGTTCTGAAGAGATGGGTATCGCGGAGGATCAAAATCTGCTTGCTCGCACACTAGAATTACCTTAGACGCTGTATGTCTTCTATTTTCTGCTTGTTAGAAGCATGAATAAAACATAGGTCTAGCGTAAAATGTGGAACTATCACTTACCAAGATTCTCACCTCCATCCGTCACAGAAAAGTATCTGCACTATCCTGAGGTAGAAATACACACGCGTCACTGTCTAGCCTCACAACAACAACGCCAACTCGTTCCAAAAGGCGTTTGACATAGACACGCAGGCACGACTGTGCGTGAATTAAGTAAAGTCGGCAGAGCGAAAGACGAAAGAAGCCACCACAACGCAGAGAAAGAGGTAAATACCTCGCACATCTTCAGATTAAAACGTTATTGCGCAAGGAACAACTCCCGCTTTAAAAAGTTTCCTTCAAACGAAAAGCCAGGCTTAGCTACAAACCCCCAATCCCATCACCATGACCATTACCATCCCTTAGGTAAACAGCCGGCGGTGAAGGATCTTAATCGTACAAAAATCCAAAAACCCAAGTCGGAGAGGAGCTGGAGGATCTTAGCTATACTCCCCCCTCTCCAGCCTATCCCTCTCCGCCCTATCCCTCTCAACCAACTCAAGAAACGACCATCCAAACATTTCCATCCTCAACCTCTTCAACCTCCTAGCCTTGTCCTTCTTCGACGCACGCTCAGCATACTAACGCTTCCTCTTCTTTTTGCCATCATCCTCACTCGCGTCGGCCGCAGCCTCCTTATCCTTCTTCGCCGCCTTCTTATCCAGCTCATCCCATGACTCCCCCTCTGAGAACTCATCTTCTGAACCCTCATCACTCATCTCCTCAGAAGCGTTCTCATCAAAGTCCGATTCGTCGGAGGATTCATCCGAGATAGCGAGTTCAGACTCACTAACCTCAAACGCAGACTCCTCTTCCTCCTCGCCATCACCCTCGTCGTCGGTTTCGTTGGAGAGGAAACTCCATCCGCCGTCCGCGAAGAACTGGTGGGGGTCCGACGTAACGGTTTTCATAATGGTGGCCCAGTTGAGGTTTAAGGGACCCTCTGTGAACGGGATATCAACACTATCCAACCAATCCTTAACGGGATCGAGGGACTCGACGGGGATAGTATTGATGTGCACGGGTGGGCGGTTGTAGTCTTTGAATACGACGACCATGTCGAAGTTCCTCAGGCCGAATTGAACACGCTCCAAGTGGACGATTTCGATCTCGGAGAGGGTGAGGCAGGTGAAGGGGGGTTCAGTGAGTTGAACCAAGCAGTCGGTTGTGGGTTGAACGAGGACGGAGGAGCGGGATGGGACACCGTTGAAACCCAACTCGCGGTACGGGATATCGACGCTGACGTTCTCGTTGCGCGCGGCGTCGGCGATCTTCTCGGCGAAGTTTTTGAATTCCTTGTCGAGGGCTGCGCGGCGGCGGCGCTCTTCTTGTTCTTGCTCGAATTCTTCTTCGTCGCCGAACTTGTGGCGCCGCTTGCGGTTGCCTGTTTCGTCGAATTGCATTTCTGTGGCTTCGCGGACGAACTGGACATCCTTTGTCTTCTTTTTGCCCAGCATTATTGGGTTCTTGAGGTGGACGTGGATGATGACGATGAGCTCGTGTTGTGAGGGTTGGAAGAAAAGGTGCTTCATGTTGCTGAAGAGGACGTCGATCTTGGCTGTGCCGTTGCCGTGGACGTAGCGCAGACCGTTTTGGTGGATCTCGACACTTCCGGGGATGCGCTTACCGTCGAGCGCGGGGCGGATGAAGATGAGGTCGAGCATGTGCGGCTTGCGGGTCTTGAGCGGGATGAGCTTGTCTTGCTCAACGACGTCTTCCATCTGCTTCTTCTCAGTCTCCCTTCGCACGACGTCCTTCTTCAGCTCTGTGATGTCCTTTGTAATCTGGTCGATACGGTCAACATCGTGCGACTTGAAGGTCAAACTACGAATGAAGTGTGCGTTGGGGTCTTCGAACGGCTGGTCGTCCTTCCGGCCAACACCTTGACCTGGTGAGAGGAAGTTGATGCGGAGAGATGTGAAGTCCGCTTCGGGGGTGTGCGATGCGTTCTTGATGGTGTGAATGTGGAAGGGTACGGGTCGGCCCATGATCGGAAGAAGGACTGTGAGGTTCTTCTTGTCGACAACGATCTCCAAGTTGGCGACTGAGCTGGGGAACTGGTTGTCGCGCTTGTAAGATTCGAATTTCTTAAACTTCTTCTCTTCTGTGCCGTTTAAGGACTTTGCGCCTTCGCTGTACTCGGCAAGACCCTGCTCCTGCTTCTTGGCGTGTAGCTCTCTTTGATGCTGTCGCCGTTGCTCCTCCTTCTCGGCATCTTGGTTTGTTGTTCGCTCGTGGCGTGTGCGGGTCTTGGTGATGTTCGTCTGGGCGATGGCTGGGCGCTCCTTCTTGACCTTGGGTTTGGCCTCCTCCTCTTCGTCGTCGAAAAAGAACGAGACGGCGTCCAGATCTGAGGTGGTGTCCTTGGTGAAGACTGCGCAGTCGCCGGCGCTAACACGGACGGTGTCTACCAAGACGAGGGAGTAGTTCTTGCTCTTCTTGTCTTGCGGCTTGCTGTTCTCGAGGTCTGACAAACCAGTCTGGACTACCAAGGTCATGCCGTCTTTCAGGACACGGGTGTTCTTGCCGCTCAGGAGCAGCGAAGAGTCCTTGTTCTCGGTACCGATACCGTAACCGAGGTTCTTGGGGAAGTGCTTCTCCCACTCTGGCTTCTTCGACTTGAGATGCGCGAGCGCCTTGTTGTAGACGTCCTTGGCCACCACACCGTCCTTGATCGACTTGATGACCAAGTCGTGAATCGCCAGAAGCAACTTATAGGCAGTCTCCTGCTCCTTGTTGGGACCGACCATGAATGTGCGACCGATCATAGCGCCGTATGTCTGGTAGCGCAGACCGAGGACGGAGATGATGACGCCCGCGTGCAGGTTGTTCTCGTCGGGCTCGGCCGCGAATTTGAGATCGTATGAGCCGCCACTCTGAATCGTAGGCTGCAGACACCAGTCGAGCTGCATCGAGTCGAATGTCTTGGACAGCTTCTGCTTCTCAAAGAACTTGGCGTCGTCGATCTTGTTGGAGACCTTGTCGGCGAGGGCGCGGTGGGAGATCTTCTTCTCGGAATCGAGGATGTCGGACATTTCTTCGACGAAGTAGTTGGACATGAGGGCGCTCGAGGCGCGGGCGGCGTCGCGGATGGTTCGCTAAAAGGTCAGGAAGGTCAGTAATGCCAGTGCGGAGTTGTGAGGCCAGACTTACCAGCTCCTTCTCGTCCTTGACGGACAAGGCGGCGTTGGACATGATGGAGGCCAGATCGACCTGGTCCTCCTCCTTGAAGCCAGCCTCGTCAAAGGCAGCCTTCCACTCGTTCGCAAAGGCGTTGTTGGCGTTGTCCTTCTTCAGCACCGCCACCTTCTTGCCCGCCTTCTTCATCGTCTCGAGACATGTCTGGAACTGCTTCTTGTTCTCCTCGGCGTCCTTGCCGCGGACGAGAATCTCAACCGGCACCTTGCCACCTTTGAGCGGTTCAAGGTAGGAAGCTATCCTCATTAGCAACCATTCTCATTTTGGGGTGAACTTGGCAGACTCACCCTTCTTCTTGGTGGTGACAATCTGGAGGAGGTCGGGGGTCAGGATGAAGAGCGTCGCGGGAAACTCGTAGCCTAGCAGCCATAGCTGGGGTCTCATCAGCTCACTGTCCGTTCATCACATGTCGATATGCGCAATCTTACCTGGAACGCTGCGGGCTTCAAATAGATGCCTGGCTCACTCGCCTTGCCCACGAGTGTCGCGATAGAGCTTGCGCCCTGGAAAACAGCGTCGCCGGAGCGCTTGTCGGCCTTCCACTTGGTGACGAGGGCGTTGAGGCGCTCGTGGAATAGCGCCTTGTCGATGACAATGTCGTTCTCCGCCATGGTTGAGGATGCGCTGAAGATATCCTCCAGGCGGGTTGGCGTAGCTGCGAGGGAGAAGGTGGGAGAGAGAAGGCAGCGATGAGAAAGTCGCGAAAGGATGATGCGACGCGAGGTACGCGCTGGGGGGCCGTGCGCCTCTCAACTCCACAATCATACTAGCGCCAACCTCACCTAGCAAAGCTCTCTAGAGCTGGCATTGATAAACCCCACATCTTCCTAGGCAACACTTTTCAACGTCACGTTTTCTTCTTGTAAATACTTTGATCATCTTTTGTTGTTGTAGACTCCAAAGTTCTGATCACGCCAAAGTCACTTCCATCTTGTGACCATCCCACGCGGCTGCCTCATCCACCTCAAAACCCTCACCACCCCACCCATGCGTCTGCAAACCTCCCCAACCACCAACACTATGCGATGACGACCGGCTCCAGTCCTCGCGCTGGAGTCTCCCTCCGAAGCGATGCCTCCAATGACACGACGACCACTACGCCCGACGCCCCGCAGGCCCCCAACAAGGCACCAGCGACGGGTGTGCAGGCCGCTGGTATGCGCGCCGTGGCAGCGAGGATGGTCGCCTTCTACTTCCGAGCACCAGTAAAAGCCTTCTTCAGGGGGAGGATCGACTACATGAGCTATGCGAGGGCGATAAACCCACATGTCATGGCAGATGCGAAGTGGTCGTGGAGGATGACTACGCCAGCGGTTCTGGCGCATGCGATACGGACTGAGGGATGGGGGTTTATACCGAAGCAGGTGCTGCCACCGCTGATGGCAAATACTTGGTATGCAGCCTCTCTCCCATGTAATAACATTCGTACTAATATCGAGATAGTATTGGCGCCGTCCTTTATACAGCCTACCTACACAGTCTCTCCGCCCTTCATGAACCCTCCTCCTACCAAACCAAACGCGTCTACCCGCCCCCTCCCCCCTCCATAACCTTCACCGCAGGCTTTATCGGCGGCTCATGCCAATCCGTCATCGCGGCTCCCTTTGATGCCCTGCAAACCCGGTTCCGTACCGCCGACATCCTCGAAGGACGCCACAAGACAATGTGGCACTACGCCGGCCACAAACTACGCTCCATCGGCGTCCAAGGCATCTTCGCCGGCTGGTCTCTCTCATTCATGAAAGACGCATTCGGCGCCGCCGTCTTCTTCGGCACCTTCGAAACAGTGAAGAGTCAAGCTTACCTCGAGTTCGTTAGCCGCTACTACGGAAGTCGAACGCGCGACACCCTCCTTGAGAAATCCATCCCCTACCTCCAAGAAGACCACGACGACCGCCCCGTTATCCGCCCCCACTACATGCTCGAACCCATGTTCCTCCTCCTCGCCGGCGTCTCCGCATCCATCACCTCCCAACTCATCCAGCACCCCTTGACCGAAATCCAAGACGTCCATTACCGCCGTCTCGAAGCCCTGGACTTCCAGGCCCACCAAGACAACAAGCCTAGTCATATCGTCCGCCGCTACTACCACGCGTACGAGGAGACGTTTGCTCAGTGCAAAGTTCTTGCGAAGAGGGCTGGCGGGTGGAGGAAGTATCTCTATAGAGACTTCTTCATGAGCACGATTAAGCAGGTTCCCAGTACCGCTGCGGGGCTTATTGTGTTTGAGATTGTGAGGCGGAAGTATAGTTTTGAGAATGAAGAGGTTATGATTATGCATGAGGATGCGAGGATCTTGTTGACTTGAAGAGCTTGGAAGACGTTGGTTGGGTGGTACGTGGCGCGTAGTGCGAGCGAAGTAAGAGACGGATTCAACAGCTCGTGTCAATCGGAGCTCGGACGCTTGGGTGGGGTGTACGCGATATGGTGGTAGCACCTCCTATGTGGGACAAGACGAGTGACTCCAGATCATCTTACAAGGAGACTCGCCTTGTTTCACATAGGAGATGCCACCACCCTATCCCGTACATGTCATTCAAACCTTCAGATGGGTATCCAGGAAGATGGTACGAAGAGGGAGCGAAAGATGTGACCTCCACCAATCGGTCATTCCTTCGCCCAACGCTGCTGCTCAGCTTGAGTAAATCCGCTTCTTCGTTTCATACGTTCTCGGAAGTAGCCTTTGTTTCTTCTGAGAAACATCTTTCTCTCAAGAAACTTCTGCTACTTCTGAGGGGGTATGGGGGAACTGGCGCATTTACTTGGGCTGTGTGGGACATTGGGGTGAAGGAAAAAGAAGATTTCGTTGGCGAGAGTAACAAGTGGCGTCACTTCCAACGCTGCTGCTCAGCATAAGAAGATACAGTCGTTTGTTGCTTTTGTTCCGAGAATGTGAGGAACAAACGACTGCATCTGTTAGGGCTGGGTAGGAGATATGGGATAAAAGCTGGACTGCGAGGGGAGAGAGCAGAGGCGGTGAAGATAATCGTCGGCGTCTCTTCCAAAGCCGCTGCGTAGCTGGAGTGAACTCGATCATAGGACCGTTGACTAGGTATAGTGGCCTTGTGATCGAGTTCACTTTGGCTACGTATCGGAGTTGGAATTGGGGTTGACTGGGGACAAAGGAAGGAAAGGGGAGAGGAGGGATGTCAGGGGCGTGGAGGAGTTTCTGCATATGATTCCCATATATAGAACAACAACATTTATAGACGTATATACAACAAGACAATTCGCATTACACTACCCGCACTGAAACACTCGCATAGGTATTGCGATGGGCTGACTATCCGCCCAGTCTCGCAAGTCTCTCAACTCTCTCCCTCTCCCTCTCTGCTTTCTCCCACACCTTCTGCGCTTCCTCGCTCCTTTCTCTAAGCCTGCTTCCTATACCTAGCATCTCCATATCGAGGATATACCACACGGACTTCCGGCCGAAATGCCATTCACCGCGTACGAACTGGAGGTGGTTTAGAAAATATCTGGATGGCGGTGGGATAGGTCAGCATTTGGTAAAAGGACGGGGAAGAAGGAGGGGAAAAAGAGGAGGGGAAAAAGAGGAGGGGAAAAAGAGGAGGGGAAAAAGAGGAGGGGAAAAAGAGGAGGGGAAAGGAAGAAGGTGAAGAACCAGGGATTGAGGGCGCAAGAGGGATGGAGGGGGGCGGGAGAAGGAGGGCAGGGAGGGTAGGAGAGAAGGGGTTTACTTACTGCCAAAAAATCCCCCCAATAGCCATCCAACACACCACGCCCAACTTCACGTTCTGCCTGTCACTCAGAATATTCCACGCTTTACTCTTGATCATATGCCCATTCGCGCCTCCTGTCATTGTCTCATTCCCTGCATTGCCTCCATTCCCTCCATCTCCTCCATTCCCTCCATTCCCAGCTAGCATGCGCCAACATCCCAGTCCCACAGTCATCGGAAGTGTTGTGGTAACGCCGTTGGGTGCGGTTAAGGTGGATGTGGAAATCTGAGGACAGTCTGGGTCCCAGATTATGGGCTGTGTTGGCATGGGCGCTGCTCCGGTTGGAATAGGCGGGGGTGTGGGGAGTGGTGGAGAGGCGAGATTGGTGGAAGGAGAGGTGTTTAGGGGCGTGGTGGAGGGGAAGGCGAAGGATACGCCTGAGGCGAGGGAGGGGATTGGGGTTTTGGACTTGTGGGTAGATTTGGACTTGGAGGTGGAGGTCGTAGTCGGTTCTTCCTCAGCGTCGTCATCGGAGTTAGAGGTTGCGGGTTTAGATTTGGTGGTCGTAGTCGGTTCTTCCTTAGCGTCGTCCTCGGAGTTGGAGGTTGCGGGTCTGGTGGACTTGGGCTTATGAGATGTGCTTGTGGGGGTGTCGGCGGCGGAAGTGTCTTCTTGGGACTCTTCTTCATCGTCATCTTCCACCGGTTTCATCTTGCTGGATGTTGCTTTCTCTTCGAAATATTTGGATGCGGTGGCAGTCGGCACGGTGTTATCATCCTCGTCCGCAGGTTTCTTCTTGGTGGATGTGACCTTCTCCTCAACATCCGTAGATGTGTCGGTGGTTCGCACGCTGTCATCTTCCTCATCTGCTGCAGTCTTGATATGTGAAGCCTTGCTCTTCGTAGACGTAGGCGTCTCGTCGTCTCCAGCTGCCCCCTCATCAATGTCGCCTTCTTCGTTAGGTATCATCTCCCCATCAACCGGTAGCTCTTCATCCTCTTCCTCGCCCCCATCCTTCACATCAATACCTTCATCATCCCCATCTTTATCCTCCTGCTTATGCGCAAACTTCGTCGCAATAGCCGTCTCCTCTTCGACTCCATCAGTACCGGAACTAACCCTCGTAGGCCCATCATCTTCTACATCGATATTGAAAAACCCCTCGTCTTCTTGCTCTGGTTCTTCACCAGGCCCACTGAAGCTTCTCGAGCGGATGACCTTGGTGGTAGTCGCGGGGTACCACATGCGCCAGAGTAAAGAAGGTGGTTTCAGTCTACCGATCGCAGCGTTACTCGACGCTGTGGTAGAAGCTATAGCAGTAGAGACGGCACCATTCCAGCTATAGTCGGAAGTATATGTCATGCTGTTATCTGTCGAGTGAGAAGACGTTTCAGCTCTGACGCCTATCAAAGCCGGCGTTGGCGCTATTAGTATTCCGCGTCGCACCGCCCCATTCGTAGACTCGGTAGTCTTTATCGAAGCCTGATCAGTACTGCCTGCGATTGAGGCTATGTCTGGAGCAGTCTCTACAAAGCTCTTAATGTACGAGTAAAACGAGTTTATGCTTGCTTCAGTAAACGGCTCGTCCGTAGTTGTGCTAACAGGAACAGCGGCTGGTGTGGCCTTGGGCGTCGTGGATGTGTCTAGGTCAGCAGGGTTTGCAGGGTCTACAGCTGGACCCCCATACTCCTGGACCGATGTTGCAGATTCGGGGATATCCTCAGTCTCAGTAGCTTCGGAAATCTTTGACTTTGCCTTAGTCGAAGGTGAGGCGCTTTCTTCGGGTGCAGAAGGGTCGGCGTTCGAAGCTTTTGACACCGTCGGTGTACCTGAAGCTTCGATCGTCTTTGACGAATCTTCGTCGGCTCCGCTCGCTGTAGATTTGGTCTTGTGCTTGCTGGATACATCGATTGCCGATTCCGAAGTAGCCAACTCACTGTCCGAAGCCGTTATAGACGTGGACTTGTGCTTTGAAGACTTTGTTGCCTCAGACCCACTGCTGCTGTCGTCCGCTTCGGAGGTCCGAGACACGGTCTCATCTGTACCCTCATTTTGGGTAGTAGATCCTGACTCAGAGGGGGTAGTTTCTGTTGGTACACGTTTTGTAGACTTCGAAGTCTCGATCTCATGAGTGATATCGAAGGTGTTCAACGTAGTTTTCTTGCTGGTCGACGTCGCGGATGTTAATGAAGCCGAATCATCGATGTCAGTCTCCGAAGCAGTGACTACCGTAGACGCGTGTTTGGATGACTTCGACACACTCTCCGGCGTTGTCTCGCTTGGTGGGGCCTTCGAGGTCTTGCCTTCTGATGCCGAGGCTGTCGCTGTTACGCTGCCGGGAACTTGGCCACTCGGTGAACTGTCGACACCCTCCGCGTTCTTGAAATGGAGGCAGAAGCTATCAGCCGCTTCTTGGTGCACAGATATAGCCACGACCTTTGTGGAATTCCGAACAGCTAGTTGTAGTTCTCCTTTAGGCCCACCCTCCGAGTCCAGCTCTACCTCGCTTTTGCAGAACGCAGAGGCCGTGCTGTTGGACATGAAGACCGAGATGTAGCCTTCAGATGCGAGATCGATCTTGATATGGTAGAGGTCGGTGCTCCTCCTGTTGACGGTTTTTGTTCCGGAATGAAGAGCCTCTTCGCGTTTGGTGTCATCGTCGAAATGTACGAAGCCGACTTGCCTCGCGTTGAAACTCACAGGTACGCCGGTAATTGGTAGTTGCGAAATTGTAGGCTTCTGTCCACTTGCTCCTCTTGGCCAAAGGAATGCTGTTGCCATGGATGACGCGGTGTCCCCGTTCATAGCCTCGAAGACCTCATCAGAGATAGATGCAGAGGAGTCAGACACCAAGCTTTCGCTCCTAACATTGTGGTCCTTGAAGCTTGTAGATAGCCTCCGTACTTCCGTGTGGTAGATCGTTTTTGTTACGGTTGGTGTCGCACGCTGGCCGCGTTTGATAGGAGCTGCTATAGCGAAATCGAAAGCCAGAGCATGCGTGCTCAGGGATAAGGTCAGTATGCTGACAAGGAGTTTCATGTTGATGCCGCGCTGCGGTAGTATGCAGAAAGAACAGAAGAAGAGAAAACACAGATGCAATTAGTGCACCAAGCTCAGTAGTGATGCATTGTCATTGACGAGCATGAGCTCTGGTGATATGTACTTATCTTGATGCACGCGGCCCCCCTGGAATGAAGTTAATGGAATAAACCAGGTGAACAAACAAGGCTGTGAAGATGCAAGGCAATATCGCGCGAATGGTGGCTATACCATTTGCCGCCCATGTCAAGCGCATACTTCATGTGCTGGTGAAATGTCAATGTCGCGTAAAGTGCAAGCTCGTCACGGCAACGGTGGCGTGCTTCGCAGTAGTAGCCGGAATGCATCACGCACAAGCTGAGAGCTTGAAGTAGCGCGAGGTTAAGTGTTGACTCCCATGACGTGATTCGAAGGCTCTGCACGTTGAAGAGGTGATGGAGGATGGAGTAACGAGGAAGCCGCGCGCCAAAGCCGAGCAGTTCGGCTTAGTAAGCTAGCACGGCATGTTCCGAGGTCACGCATCGTTATCGAACATCAACCACCATTTCCGTCATCGACGCGCCACAATAGAGCCGCGCATTTCCTCCGCGCAACGAAAACCAACATGATTCGGTGTCGCCGGCAAAGAAGCAGCTCTAATTGAGCTTTTCCGATGGATCTCATCAAACAGTATAACTCCAGTCAGGCACCAATGAACCCCTCAGTTCATTCCGATTCAAGTGCCGAGATAGCTACCTAGGTACCTGCGGTACGCGGTGATGCATCATATAACCACAGCGCCATGCTCCTCCAACGTCTCTCTCCATCCCGCCATCTCCAATTCGTGACCCGTTCTTCTCCGCACTTGTCCAGACGCACCATGGCTTCCCTCCCCATCAAGCTCGCCGTCCTCGATGACTACCATAACATATCCGCCCAGCAGTTCGCCCACATCGACCCTTCAAAAGTCGAGACAACCGTATTCAACGATACCCTACCGTCGTACACGCACCCGAAAACATCCGATGCCGATCGCAAAGCCCTTGTCGACCGCCTCAGACCCTTCTCTGCGCTTTCCACCATGCGCGAACGCACCCCGTTCCCAGGCGAACTACTGCGCCAACTGCCAAATCTCAAAGTCGTATTTGCGACGGGCGGTAACTTTCAGAGTTGGGATCTGGATACAATGAAGGATATGGGTATTACGGTGTGCGCCGCGCCTGGCAAGGGCAGGACGGATGGGAAGGGTAGTGGCACGTCTCCTCGATCACTGCCGGTTAAGCAGGGGGGTGGGCATCCGACTACCCAACATGCTTGGGCGCTTATACTGGGGCTTGCGCGGAATATTGCTGCGGATGATGCTGTGGTTAAGGGTAAGGGTGTGCCGGCTGGATGGCAGACTGAGCTCGCGATGGGATTGCAGAGGAAAACCTTGGGCTTAGTTGGCCTGGGAAGAATCGGTGCACATGTTGCAAGAGTTGGCGTGCTGGCTTTCGGCATGAAAGTCGTGTGCTGGAGCGCGAACCTGACACAGGAGAAGGCCGACAAGCTCGCCGAAGAGTGCGGGCTGCCTGTGACAGGTGGTGGCATGACCGACGCAAACGAGAAGACATTCAAGGTCGTTACCAAAGAGCAGCTCTTCACATCTTCCGATGTAGTAAGCCTACACTACGTCCTCAGCGAACGCTCACGCGGTATCATCGGCGCACAGGAGTTGGAGTGGATGAAACCAACCGGCCTCCTGATCAACACTTCGCGAGGCCCGCTTGTCGACGAAGTTGCATTGCTGGAAACGCTCCGACAGGGACGCATTTGTGGCGCCGCGCTCGACGTGTTTGACATCGAGCCTCTTCCTGCCGACAGCCCATGGCGTAGCGAAGACTGGGACGTCAAAGGCAAAAGCAGGGTATTACTCACACCGCACATGGGTTATGTCGAAGAAGGTACTCTAACGACATGGTATGAAGAGACAGCAGAGAATCTGGAGAGGCTGATAGAAGGCAAAGACCTCTTACATCGATTAATCTAACCCAGTCTCAGTCCTACCGGAATCCCCTTCCTCTCCTCTTCCGTCAAATCTATATCAAAGATCTCTTTCAGCGCAGTAATCCGCTCCTCCTCTGTCTTACAATCCCGTACAATCTCGCGGTCAAGCCCAATACTCTGCTTAACCCCGCCTTCAAAAAGCGTCACACTACCCACAATCCTCTCTCCCGCATCGTCCATGAGCATCTTCGTACTAGTGACATATTTCGTGAAGAAAGAATTCGGATTCGTAGACGTAAACCAAGACATGATCTCGTAATCCTGCGGCAAAAACTCCGTCTCCGTAAAGCAATACACCGGCGTCCATTTCCTCTCACCCTCACCCTTATCGCTGCTGCTCGGATTATAGCAAACGTCATAACACCACAATTCATTCGAGTCCCTTCCATACGACTCCGCAATAGCGCGCCGCTGGACACGAATAAGCCTTGGAGCTATACTCGTCGTTTCGAATCCATCTAGCAGCGGATACGCCAGATTGGGACCCATGGCCCCCATTCCAACGTCTGCGACGTACCAGCCCGCATCAAATCCCACGAGATTCAGCATGTGGTTCCAGCCATCGTATGTGTCCGCTTGCTGCCGACGCACCTCGGGGTAAGGGCTCATGGCCCGTGACACGCGGCCGCCGCAGTTGCGCACATGGAACCCGAGAGAGCGCAGAACGGTGGCGAAGAAGGTGTTGTTTTCCATGCAGCGGCCGCCGCGGCACTGGGTTACTATCTTGGTGTACAGGGCCTGGGGGTTGAGTGACACGGTTTTGTGGGTGGAGTAATGGAGCTCGAGGTTTTCGAAGGGGATGTGGCTGGTGTGGTGTCTCATCAGACCCTGCAAAAACGGAAGGCCATACTCTTTGGTAGTGGCTAGCGTCTTGTCTGACAGTACAGGCGTATCCAAATATTTCTGGGGAAGGCTAATGCGCTGGAAGTAGTCTTGTAGTTCGGAAGCACTGTATCGTGGCTGCTCGTCACCTAGTGGCAGCTGGGTCAGACGAGAGGGCACTGAAGTGTCTGGCATATTGTAGAGGGCCGAGAATGGCGAGTGTTGGCTTGGGTTGGAGTACGATGCTGGCAATGAATTCAGGCGCCTGGCAACTAACCAGTCTCGTAAGCAGAAACGGGAGATGCACCTTGAGCGTAATTTCTAGTCGCAGAGTCTAGCAAACTCATTACCAACTGTTCGCGATCTGTCTTGCCCCGCACTTACTGCGGGCTAGCGGGTCGCACCGCGGAACACGCGGGTTTGACGCGGCTACGCCCGGTCAACTTGTTCGCATGACAAGTTTGGCTTTCGCATTCTCGACAAGGCTTCGTCTACGTCACCCTGCACGTTGTGAAACCAGAGCCAGTCAAATCGACCTTGCTGAAGGCGAGGCAAGATCTTGCCCATATCGTCCCCTGCTTCTTCGTGTTGGAAGAATAGCATACGGGCAACCTCAGCTGCCTGCTCCAGCTGCTTCTGGGCGCGTGGCCTTCGTACCGAGCCGTACGCGCTGAGACCAGCAACGATGCTTGCGTCGCTACTTGCTTCTTTTCGCGATGATTTGACAAGCTCTGACAATACATTCGAAAGGACCAGAGCATCTTCGACGCCTTGAGCAGCGCCCGCTGCCTGAAATGGCAATGACGCATGTGCGCTATCGCCCAGAAGAGCCACACGGCCTCGGTAATATGTCGAAGTCCTCAAGTGGTGGAAGAAGCCCCATCGGATGGGATTTGCCTTGGCCAAAAGTTGGCGGAAGCGGTCGTCGACGCCTGGTCCCTCGAAATCGGCCATCATGGCTTCATGTGAGACCTTCTGTGTAACAGCTTTGTCCGGTTGCCAGCCTTGCTCATCTGTGACGCACAAAAGGTAGTTGAACTCCTGCAAGGAATAGCGGTAAGCAAGGGGACGTTTCTTTGGTTGTGAACATGGGTAATGCCTTACCTTCCCCTCTGATATGCGGTAAGTTACTGCGCAGCGCTTATGGCCAAAATAGAATTTGGCTACGTCGGTCAAATCTCCAAGGATAGCTTCGGCATCAGCCATTGGAATGACAGCACGGTAGCAATATGCATCAGCGTAGACTGGCGCTACTTGGTCCGGGAATTCCGGCTTCAGGACATGTTCTCGGACTGTGCTCTTGATGCCGTCAGCGCCAGCAAGAATGCTTGCTTCAGCGACTTCTCCATCGGCAAAGGTAAGGACGATTTTGGATGGCAGCTGTTCGATGTTGACGAGGCGCTTGTTGAACTTGACATTTTGTCGTGGAATGAAGCTGGTCATGATGTCAAGCAGCGTCTTGCGATGTGCCTGGTGCCAATTAGCAATACTCGTGTAAATAGCGATGGGTTGTAGCACATGCAGACTTGCGCTCGAAATCAGGATGGCCCCACGCCGACTTGCCGTACCATGCTTGGTCTTTGCCTGCAATAACAGGTTAGCAATAGGCACACCAAGAAGAAATGTGGCACAGGAAATATACATACCCAAACCCTCACTAAGAAGCATACCCTCAAAAAAGATATCTTGTTTGTCAGTACCCTTATTTCCTACGCAAATCCTCTCGTACAAGGGACGGAATCCAGGCTCAATCAGATCCATGGCTCGCATGCCATTTGGCGCAAAGCCGATACCAGCACTGTGATCAAGTAAGCAAAGGAAGCCTAGGTGAGGTGCGTGGTGATGAGGACATACCCTACAGCTGAAAATTCCTTGGCGTCCTCATACAGGGTGAAGGGGACGGATTTCTTGTGCAGCGCCATGGCCAGGGCGAGGCCACCAATACCCGCGCCTGGATGGCCTGTTAGTGATATGGGATGGTAGAAGGGTCAATGTGAAGATATGCATACCGACAATGGCAACGTGGAAGTCGTTGTGCATGTTTCCGGACATGGTGTATAGGATAGTGCTCGTGCTACGACTTTGGCGTAACGATGACGCACGGTTGTGGAGAGCGATGGACAGGCGATGCAAGGATGCAGTGGGTAGGCCGCTGAGTGTATCGAGGGATTCATTACTTGGGCGGTGTCGTGTTGGCTTGAGGTGTGACTAGATGCATGTGGCGTGCCGCGTTTACCCCGGGTTGACCTAGTTAGACGCTACCATGCCCCGGACGGGAATAACCGGACACGTGATATCCCGTCTGTGCTAGAGAAACGACATGTCCAGACGCCGTCTCCTTCACCACCACCATAACCACGGCTGAGTCGGAGTCAGCCGTGGACACGGCCGCATCGACCAACAGACGTCGGTGCGTTGATTTCGCATGCAACGCGTGCCGGATGCGCAAGTCGAGGTGCGAAGGACGGCGCCCCTCGTTCTTGTCTTTTTTTCGACGACTTTGACATGCGAGGTTCTTCATGTATAGATCTTGTTAGGGTCGCAAAGGTTGTGGCTGGCTCATTATATCTATGCGTCATAGCGGTACCAGGGTAGCGTTACCCGCTACGTACCAGACCCAGCCTTCTACCCAGCAGATATTCGATTGTATAGCGACTTCCTTGCACCACTACTAACACCACATATAGGGTATGTTGGAGAAGTTATCTTGACGACTAAGTATGAAGAGACGGCGAAGAACTAGGAGCACTGGACATCTTGCGGTTGGGGGTGTTGCGACGAGTGTCGTGTGAGTGGTCATTGCGGTTCGAGGGCGTTGTCGCATTAGTAGGTGTCAAAGAGTTTGCGAGCGTTTCCAAAGTTCACACGCTGGAATACGGTCATCTCCAACCCAGAAGCTGAGATTGGTCCGTTGCTCATTATGCGTCACAGCGGAACCGAGGACCACAGGCCAACCCACTAATCCTACCCGAATTACGATCGAACAGTTATGAGTATATAAAGCCGGTGCTGCGCGTAGAATGCTGTAAGCTCACATAGACCTCAGCGCACCTCAAACCACCACGTAAACCGATATTCAACACAAACCCATTCGTCTCCACCGCAAAAGACGACCACCATGACAAGTCCAACTCCAACCCCTCAATCAAGCCGAACCACTAGACGCCGCCGACCAATTTTCGAGACACTCCCCGACGGCACTCGCCGCCGCATCGTCTACCCCCAACCTCCCCAACCCCCCCGTCCAACGCCAATCCCCATCTCAGAGCCAGACCTCGCCTCAGTCTGCACCATCTGGGACTTCACCAAACTCTCTGAAGACCAAGCCCCTTCAACCTATGACCACGCAGAGCATCTCCTACGACACAAGCACAGGCTTGTGGGCCAGTGACGACGAGCGGAAGTCGTCTCTAGACTGCGCACTGCATACGGCTATCCGCAGAATTGTGGATGCGCTAGGTTTCGACTTTGGAGGGACTACATCAAGTAGAAAACATGTGATGGCGGTGTATTATCACGAGGACAATGTGGCGCCGAAAGTGCCGGAGTGGTTAAGACCGCTGTTGCTGGTTGAGACGCATAGTGGGTTCGGGTATTATTGTGATTTTGGAGAGCGAAAGTATGTTAAGTTGGCGTAAGGTCATCATGTGGTGGGTAAAACCTTTTATTGGAATCAAATGAGTTGGTGTAACAACTTCTTTCCTTCATCAAACAAGTCGCCATACATACGAATATCTGCTGGGTAGAAAGCTCTCGTCAAACACTCTTGAGTCCCCAGCTCGGTTACCGCCATCAATGTTACCAAGACACCACATCCGAGCGAACGGTACTCGCGGGCGCCGAATGCACTACCTACCACCACCGCGCTCGACGCCTGAAGCGCCCTGATACGCCCAGATCAAAGAACTCTGCGCTATCTGGAAGTTGAAAAGATATGAGGAGCGACCCGCTGAGCACTTTGACTGTGCCGAAACATACCTCTATGACATGAGCACCGGACACTGAGGTAGCGAGGCCAGCCGGAAGTTACTCTTACATTGTGGCGTGTTGACGGCAATTCAAATTGTCGTTGCCGCGCTGGGATTCCCAGGCAGGGACACTGCCTTCGAGACAAAGTACACATTCACGGCGCACTACGGGAATGACGATGAGATTCCGGTGCTGCCGAAGTGGCTCCACGAGATAGTGACATCAAAAGAATTTCGCTGGACGGTTATACACCAGAGTGAAGCAGGGAAATGGCAGGACGACTACATAGAATCAGCGGGTCGAAGAAGTCGTAATCATAATGTGCTTTGGCGATCACATCGCATCCGCGAAGCGAGAAAGTTGTGATCATCATGAACTTTAGCGAGTACATAGCTAATAATATGTCACGCATATGCGCAATATCCGCGTAGTTAAGGGATACAATTCATTCAAACGATCCTCTTAGTCACTATCTAGCTACCTGAAGTGCGCAAACCTCCTCTTTGCCTACCCACTCTTTTCCTTCAAACTCAAGCTGCAGACCAAGCAGATGCGCTTCAATCACGTAGCTGTCCAACGACAGAAAGGCACTCGACTGCTCAGAGTGCGACTCTGGGGGTTTCCCAAGATGAATACCCAAGGGAATTTTGATGGACTTGTCCATCGAGTACACCAGGGCGCCAGAGTCTCCAGCAACGTCAGGGTAGCGTTCGTTGCCTTCCGAAAAGAGTGGTTCGGTCGCTCCTTCAGCGACCCAATTCGGTGTGAAATGTGCCATGTTTATACGCGGAATGACGCCGCTGAACAGGCCAGCATCTTTCATTCGTAGCTTTAGAATTTCCACTTCTTGGGAAAGTTTGTCATGGCGATTGGGGTTCTTCAGCTGTACCCGCGTGCCTTGTATCCGCTCTTCATTCGCACGGTTCATGACCCAGAATTTGTTCCCATCCAACTTATACAAGGAGAAAGCTGCATAGGCCTGTAGTCTACATCAGGATGAAACCATGCAAAGTAGACAACCGAACGTCAACGTAGGCTCCAGGGTGTCCAGAGTTTCCTCGAATAAGGGGCGTCCTTGTGCACGTAAAGACAGCCCATACGCTTCATGGCTTTGTGTCGGCGCTCAGTGTCGGTGGGAGATGACTGTGTGGTGTGCGCATGGTCTGTGGATATCGAATATTGGAGTTGCTCGGTAGTAGTTGAGATCTGGAGGGACACCGTTGGTGGAATGCGGCAACGGTGAGCCGTGGAGAGTCGACCAGTGGCAATTGCTTCCGTCTTTCAGAACCATTTTGACGTATACAATGAAGCCACGAAGTGTCCACCCACACCGCACAGGCATGCGGAGAGGTTACAACAGCCGTACACTGATGAATCTCGGTCTTGGTGTCTTGTTGTATTCCTCAAAGAGAGGTGTTGCCAAGTGCTGAGTCAAAGCATACGTCCATGTCGTAGTCTTTGATGGTGTGTGAGTTTGTATCCCAAGGGAGTTTCGACTCCAGTTTCCTTAGGCGACCCATGGTGAACCCGCTGGAAGCACCTTGGCGTCCATTATTGCCACATATCGTGTGTTGTTGAAGTTGAAGAGAGGCTCCTCGAGATTGTCTGTGTCGATGAAGGTTTGGTAGTGATGCATCGTTGTTCGATGCATAACCGAACACATTTTGTCGGCATCGTTCATACTCAGTTTTAGTATGCCGACTTCTGCCGACAGGGGATCATTCTTATCCGGATTCTTTAAGGCCACTCGCGACCCTCCGATCTGCTCTCCAGTCACTCGATTGGTGACGAAGAAGTCGTCAACCCGTGCCAGGACATGACCGGCTGTTATGCCGTACGGCTGATTGCCAAATTCAGTTGGGTCGATCATAATGACGCCCAATGTTCCAAATTCGGATTCCACTCCCCTTTGGTCGGTGGTTGTATCACTAGGGGTGAAGGCGGAAGACCGTAGGTGAACTGAAGTCTGGCGCATACGATACGCGTTCTGCAGATATCATTACTGTACGGAAGAATATGTAGCTGCCTGGGGGTCTCGAAGCCCTTCCGGCTGGTTCTTTGATGATGCGACACGCCTGGTAGGGGATACTGTAGACGTTTTGATTGGGTAGTATCAAGTGTCGGTATAGTGGGTTTTGCGATGAGAACCGGCGTGTTGTGTTGGGATGCGACGGGGCGTGGTCGATCTGGTACGATGTCAGAGGCAAGGGTTTTTGAGGGCGGCTACCGTACCTCGTATCCGCTCTTTCATTCTCACGGTTCGTGACCCAGAATTCGTCACCGCCTGCAAGAACGTGTCCTGCTGTTATGGCGTAGGGCTAATTCCCTTCATCTTCTGGCTCATACAAAATAGCCCCCAGAGTCCCGTACTCGGTATCTTTTCCGGCTTGATCGGTTATACGATCTCCCAGCCGGATCCGGTCTGTAGTGGGCTTGTTCTTTGCCCCATTGGCTTGTGGAGTATAGCCAAGGTCAACGCCTTGTACGCGGTCGAGGAAGGGAATGTTTAGCCAGGGTGGCAATGTAGGCGCTGGCTCGCCTCGTTCTGCCGAGATCTGCAGCTTGTTTGCCGATCGGGTGGCAGTTGTGTAACTAAGATAGGCACGTCAATACAGAGAAACCTTGATAAAGCCACAATGTATAATAGTTACCGATAGAAAGATATGATTTGTAGAAGGCGGTAGAACATCATGTGCGACGTGATGTATTTGCATTGGTATCGCGACCGCTCTTGTTCCTTGTGAAATCGACCTCTGGTGGAGATCAATTTGGCGGCGATGGCGACGACGTTAGCCTCTTGGTCTTCCTTCGACTTCGAGAAATTCCATTGCGCTATCGCAAGCTTAAAATCCCCGATGCTCATGTCATGGCGCAACTCAACCTTGCAGAGCGGTCGCCGTTGTGTCTCTAGACCAGAGATGTTAGCAAGAAGGGACACTGAGACAGGTACCTTCGATGGTACGTACCCGAAGTAAGACACCTGCGTAATGTTTGACGGAGGCGGTAGAATAGTATGTGTGTGTGTATGTGTGTGTGTGGTGAGGTAACAATGGGCTGCAATATCCACGTCGTCTCTTGGTACGATGTATTTTGGTTGACAACAGCCAGAACGTGTCGATGGTGCGACGTAGAAGGTGGCGTAAGGGAAGGAGGTTACACTCAACATCAACATGGCAAGATCGGTCATTGACTGGGAGTAAGTACATTCGGCAGCGGGGGCAAGTGCACCCACAGCTCTTCCGTATTTGCCATAACCAGGAAACAGCTATCTAGTTGTTCTCCATAACACCGCCGTAGTCCCCAAATGTAGTACTAACATCTCGCCAAGGGTATATTCAATCGGCAAAAATGTCGACTTCCTCGTCGTCTTCCTCGCCTTCCCCTTCATAATCACTGTTTAAGAGTGCGGCCATAAATGCCGCGTCGTGCTCATTCAACTTCGGGACTGCAATAGCACTTGACTGCTTCCTCCGATCATTCGGAGGTCCACCGTGTACCGGCAAGCTCGCATAACCCACGATGGCGTCGGCGAAGCGCTCGTCGTGGCGGAAGCCGCGCCATTTTGCATAGCAACGTTGCTGTTGGTGTCAGTATACTGAATCCATAGTAGTAGTGATATGTTTGGAACTTACAGCCGGAGTCATCCAGGAAAGCGCCTCGTCGTCGTCTTCAAGCGTAGAAGGATCGCAGTAACGCATCTTGAACGTCTGCTCGCAAGCGAACACGTACTTGGCGCGGAACATGTCTCTCACAGCCTGGAGCTTGGCCTTCACCTCTGCGTTACCGAATCCGAGATTGTAGATCTTGTCCCAAGGGATACTCTTGCCGACATCTCCCCACATCGCGGCCGCCATACGTTCCGGGTCCTTGTCGAAGTCGCCCTGCCAAAGAGCTTCGCGCTCAACCGGGGTGAGGTCTTCGACGGCTTTGTCAGCATTCGCAGCCTGCTCCTTCCATTCGCAGATGACCATGGCTACTCTGGGGTAGATGAAGTCGCTCATGACCTCGGCCTGGAACTCCGACTGATAGTCCCTTGTCCGCTTTCTAGCGCGAGCAAACTCATCGGACGACTTATCGCTGATCCCGCAGCCAGCGAGCAGAGCAATGGCGTCATCATCTGCGAGCTCATGCTTCAAGATGTAGACGATCTTGGCGGCAGGCTTCAAGGCCGAGCTCAGCATCATCGGGTCCTTGGGCGGCGGCGAGGTACCAAGGAAAGGCTTCAGCCAATCGGCTTCGCTGGCCCAGTCCATGCTGTTTGGCTGGAAGCTGCTGTAGCTGCTTCGTGTCTTCGCGTAGTTGCCGGCGACACGGCCGCGGTTTCGCACGATGGTCTTGGTGACTCTTCCGGTGTCGATCTGATCGGACGCCTCACCTTGCGAGGCGGCGGTGGCGGGCGCGTAGCGGGCTCGGACGAGCTTTGCTGCTTCGAAGATGCTGTCTGCGACCATGTTGATGCGACGGGGGGAGTGGCGACAATAATATCAAGCGATGTGTGAGAACGAAGAGAAAGAGTAGTTGCAGGTCGGAGTGGATACTTTATACTACCTAGCGTAGTGGGGTTTTCGAGACTGGGTTCAAGGTGAGAGCGAGCTCGCGGTGACGCTTTTCCCCCTGCCTTCACCTCGCCCTACAGCGACTAGTCGCCGCCGCGTTGACCGCAATTTGCCCTTCCATTGTTCGGCGAGGGCTCTTCCTCTTCTGTGAGCCGCGTTGCATACCTGCACTCTTCCTCCTCGGCGTTTGGGTAGCCGCATCCTGGGGTAGAGGCTCACACATCTGCTCGAGAGAAGCAAACATCTCAGGCTTGAGGACCCACTCCCCCGACTCTTCGTCTTGCACGTAGGGCTTTTGCTGAATCCACTCCCGCCACTTCTTCATAACCTTGACTACATGCGCTTGACTGGCTTCAAACCATTCTTCATGCAGCCTACCGCAGCCTTCACACTGTCTTCGCAGTCTACACTCCTTCAGCTCAGTGTGTATAAGCTGCTCGACGCGATGAACATGCGGCATCACCACCTGACTCTCCATACGGGAGTGATAGTCGTGCTTGCGCTTGCACTTTGTGTTCCAGCCTTTGAGCCGCGTAGCCAGATCGTTGGTGTACCCGATCTTGACGATGCCGAAATACGCCTTGTCCCAGAAGAGGTAAACATGACCCGGAGTCAGGTCTTTGGCACCCAATGGAGAAGCGGCTCTTTCGTAAAGTGCAGAGAACACGGAGAGCTCCCGGACTTTCTTTGGTTGATAAGGTGTGAAGCCCGATGAGCATGAGAACGAGAAGCGGACAGTTGCCTCAGTGGTTGACACTCTGAACTTGGGCTTTGTTGCCCGCTTGACTTGTGTAGCTGGCTTACATGTTATGACAGTGGTCGTGGGTCGCGCAGCATGATTTGTAGATGCTTCAAGGTGACTGATCGTGTTGACCCATCGCGTAAAAGTCGATTGATCTTGTTTCGTCATGTGTACCCTGCCTTCAAGCTTGTTGCGCAGTTGCGATATCCTGGATCCACCCTCAATCTCGTTCAACGCCGTGCCCTGATGCGTCTTGCACATGACTGACTGCACGATCGTCTTGACACGGCGTAGCATACGGCGGTAGTCTTCTCGTCTCTTGAACTTCGCTATATCCTTCACAGCGCTAACAACATCACGACGCGATTCCTGAGGCTTTGCCATGTGACTGCATCGTTGAGAGGGGCTCTTTACGAGGGACGCGGGGCAGTAGCCCGGAGCGCTGGCCAGCCTTGCATGGAGATCGTGTGGGACGAGTTGTTCTAGTAGCTTCGAGAACTTGCTGTCCAAAGGCGGATGGATGCGATCTTGGGGAGATGTAACGATGGTTGTCTCTTCACGAACAGCGGTACGTAGAGATGAAGCGACTGTTGTGGTGGCGGCTGTCTTGGAACGTGTTCGTGAACTGACACTAGTATCCTGCGTGAACACGAACGTGGGGTTGCTGTTGTATTTGACGGTAGCAGCCGCGACGCTTGCCTTGGAGACTGTGATGTGTTAGTCAGATGTGATCGCTATCAGCTTCAAGATGTCTTGACATACTCTCTTCAAGCACCAACGTGACGCCTCGGAACAACTTCGGTTGGAAAGGGTCATCCTGTGCCGCTGTCACCTTTTCCTGGAAAAAGGGCTCGGGAATCGCTGGAGTCACTCCAACGCCGAAAATAGGCTTGGAGATTGGGGTGAAAAGCAGCCTTTTAGAAGAATCAGGGGGTGTTGGAGGCGTGAAAGGCGTCAGGATACTTCGTGGAGAAGCGCTGGTCGTCCGCTTGGTGGGCGTCTCGGGTAAATCCCACATGTCGTTGAACCCTGCCGGAGACGACGTAGTCGATACTGTCGATGCTGGTGACACCCAGGAGACCTTGTTAGGGTCTAGTAAGGATAGCACACCGCGGCTATTCTTCTCTGAGACCGGTGTGGGTAGGAACGTAGCGCAGGGCTTCTGGGCTGTATCATACCCACACTTGGGGGTCTGCAGACCGCCTGGTTGGATGCTAAGATCTTCAGTAGCGAATGTCATGATGATAGCTCCGAGAAGACACTGGGTGGCGTGATCGATGGGAAAATGCAAGAATTAATAGATGAAGTGGGTGAGATGGATGGGTCGTTTGGTGCCAGCAGAAGGTGAGTCCATGCCTGTCTATATCCTCAGCCTCGCGGAGCCAAGTGTATTGCCTGCGACCACCACATCTACCCATCTCGCTGAAACCTTTGGGGTACTGCGATGTCAGCCTCAGTCGTTGCAGTGACATGATACCACAAGCGCATGGGCTGCCGCTACGTCCATCCGCGTAGACATATTGCCATAATGGGCAGGTGTAATCGCCTCCCAAACATCCATGAATGACTCGAGGACAAGATGGATTCGCAACCATGAGGCTTGTGAGTTTTGAATCTTTGGTGGCTGCATGACCCGTGCCGCAGAGCCGCAGGTAGTTGCCTTGCTCAGCCTACCACAGCCACTGCGAGGGCTCATGGTTTACAATCCTCCGGTGAGACTGCATTCACAGCTCGGTCTCTTCGGCGATGAGATCAACTGTCAGGAACAGGCTGAATTCGGTGATCGAAAGACTAGGAAATCATCAAGTTAGTCTGGGTCGCAACCATTTGCGATGATTAGGGTAGCATTTTGGCCCCAATCAGGAACAAAGCTTCGAAACCTCTCGCGTAGTATGTCGATGAGAGAACTGTAATAACACCAGTATGCACGCGCCATCTCAAGCTCGTATCGTGTTGAAGGCATTCCTACCACTTGCCGTTTTTCTACCAAGACGTGGGGTTTGAAACAAACGTCGTGGTCTTGCTGTGGACCGTGCTGAACCGCGCGCCGTCGGCGAGCCTCACAGGCGATACACATCGAGATAATGCAGATTGAGCGGCATATGAAGCATCGGTAGGCATGCTGACAGATTTTCTGAAACAAAGATAGATGCAGTGAAGTCCGTGAGTACATCGCGCTGAGTGAAAGCGAAAGCGAAGGGGATGGAGGTTTGTTGTTCTCGGGGAGGCGTCGTTGGCACGTGCGGGGCCGCCACGTGGGACGGCAACCGCCGCGGATCTGCTCTCTACAGCTGGAACCCAAGTCACCGCGCGCATCATTTGTGTCAACGCGACAATTACGACAGTAATAATCCCCGCGAGGACCTGTCATACTCTTGATTCAAACAAGACGAATCAACGATGAGTTTCGCACATGGTGTATGTCTTGAGCAGTCCACGCGAGCCCAATCCTTCTCCAACATTCCCCTCCAGCAGTCCGCGGAGCAGGCACGACAACGAGAAGATACGTCATGTGCCTAGACGTATCGAAAGTCTCGTACCACATATCCCTTACCAGGCCTGTTCTGAGTAGTATTGCAGCACCTGATCTTAGACCGCCTGATCGTTTGTCAGAAGCATCCAAAATTCCACTGGCTAAACTCTCGCGGCCATTGCTGCCGAGTATCATGCACTGCCTCGAGCCCGACTGATTTTGAATAGATACTGGATACCACTCGCATTGGAGCGTGAGCACGTAAGCGGGATCAGTGTTTTCCTTTGAACCTAGATCGGTCCTTTGAATCTGGATGAACTGAAAGCATGGATCCCTCATATTGCCCAGCGCTTTGAACCGAACCGCAAGATCTGTAGAGATCCAACTCCAGGAAGGGGTTGAGAAAACATCATTATCCGATCCAGAATCTTGCTGTTGAGTGTCCTGATCGATTGGGCAATACCACAGGAGCTCGTATCCCAAGTTCTCTATCCACATGCCCGCCGCATAGGTATAGCCGGTATTCCTTCGGAACATGCTTGCAAGACCTGACAAGGCGGGTAGCTTGTCAGAACGGTAGGTGAGACGGCAGCGCGAATACTCCGAGACAATGATCTGCCAGTCTGACGGTGGCGAGACTGGGAACGAGGGGTTGTCATCGAGTGGCCTAACGAGCGGGTCCCTTACTTGGGGGCATTCAAAACTTTCGTAGCGATACGGAGTAGCTTTGCGCATAGCTACTCGATGATTTCCTTCCCGCGCTGTATGAGTGAGACACTCCCAAAACATCTCACCGTCGCTGTAGTACAGCAGCCTTGGCGATAAAAGACGCTCTTGAAGTGCCCATGCCCTCTTGTAAAGTGGCGCAGTCTGGAACACACTTTCCTTGGTTCTTTCGTGGTTGTTGGAGTTGATTGTACCGTGTGCCGCCGCCGCCACCAATGCGCCGTCGCGCGGAACCAGCATACCGTGATGGCAGTCCGGGGAACTGAGCGCATAAAGCGTTAGATACGAGTGTCGGTAGATGTCGCCCATTTTTGCCGCTTCTTCCGACCAGTCATCTTTGCAGTCTTGGAGTATACACAGGCTGTCTATCCAAAGGTACTGTATGCCTAGCCTCCGAGTCACTTGAACTGCATCACGGTAGAGCTCAGGAAAAGACTCCATCGGTATACCCCGGCAATGTTCTTCGAGTGTGCTAGTAGTCGTGATAAGAGGCTGCTCACCTCCCCAACAATGACTCAACGTCATGTACAGCGCTTTGCGACCATCGGAGATATGTAAGAATGGTGTGTCTGTATGGACGTCGATTACCCGCGTTGGTAGTGGTGTCCGGTCACCTTGGTAACAACTGTGGTTCATATCGCACTTTCCGAGCCACTCTTTGACCAAACCGAAACTAGATTCCGAGGACGGATCCGGGGCGATCTCACGAGCATGCAATCCGTAAATGTATGCGATATAGCCTGATGTGAGAGATTAGCGCTGCTTAAATGCTGATGCCCTTGATATGCTTGCCGTACTCTTGCCTCTTAGATGATCCAGAAATCCGTTTCCAGTCTCTGTCCGCTCAGCAAACCATAACAAGAGGGAGTGTGAAGGAAGCTGCTCAGGCCGATCAAGCGCCGGAGGGTTTTGACGATCGGCTTGACACTGTGAAAATTCCATGCATATTGCACGGCAAAGCCAGCAGCCTTTAGTACCTTCCTCTTCCAAATCTGCCAGATCATCGAAATGTCGCATCCTTGATCCTTTCGGCCATGATCTCAGGGCCGTACACTTCTCGCAGAGAACCAACCCGATTATCGGTCTGGTATAGTTATACAAGAAGGCTGTCTCATAGTCCGGCGTGAAGAACTCGATGATCAGACAGTAAATGACCATGACAATGGAATAACAGAGTCTACAAGGAAGGAATATAATCCCTAGTTGGATGCCCACTGAGGCACACAAGATTTCAACAAAGAATGGAAAAGAATCGACAATCATTATGGTACAAGTGGTTATGTGTCAGCTATAGATGGTCAAGAAGAAAAGATTCCGTCGAGTGCAGCCCTCATGATGTCGTGGAGGTACAAGCGTTTCAGTTGCTCACACAACCCCTGAGGCAACCTCAACTAGGTTACAAGTGGTTGAGATGATCATGCAACAATTCCAAGCTAACGAATGTGGCTGCGCCTCACCGGAAATCCTATTGAGGCGCAGCCCGCATGATCTCTGATTGATCGGAGCGCAATACAGCATGACACGATAAAGCTCGCGAGCATCAGCTCGACTTACCGGTACCGCGATACAGCCTTTGTTAACCTCGGGAAGCTGCGTACTGAGCTTCGCTTACACTGAAGAATTTGTTGAAGAGCGACGGTCATCTCCCACCCTCAATGACGGTCTTTTTCACAGCATTGAAAAACTACGTGCGCGATTTCTATTCGCGATGGCGATACGATATTTACTTGCACAATCTCATGCTCGGAGCTATTGCAACAACAGTCCTCTTCACAGTCGGTGGTAGGAATCATCCCTCACAGTATGATAAGAGGGTATTCTAGTGTGTTAATATGCAACAGGACTAGCAATCGATCGATCTATCGATAGAAGGAGCTTTGGCGGCTGGGACGATCACCCAAACTCGGAGCGATGCTATAAGCAGGAACGTATAGCAACGCTGCTAGCGTTCTGGCTCGGTGTGCTTGGTATAGACCAATGGTATGCGCGTCACTGGATCCTGGCTGTGTTCAAGACTGCTACTCTGGGTGGTTTGGGTCTATGGGCAGTCGTTGATATAAACTTGTGGATTATTGGCGGGGTCTATGGTACTCCAGGGTGTCCAGGCGGTAGCAAGAAAGAATGGCTTTACTGAGAGAGCTTGTACACTATGTAGTGTAGTACTTCGCTGCGATAAATCGGAGTTTACTTGATCGGGTAGGTACCCGGGTACCTACCTAGGTAGGTACGTACCTAGCTGGTCATCGCGAATTCTGGAGTGCACACTTCCTTACTGCTGACGTTCACCCCTGTTACGCGATCCTTCCCAATATTATATTGCTCGTGTCGGCTAGCATTGGGTGCCTGAGTGTGAGAACTTGGTCGAGGGCGAAGTTGACGGGTTTTAGCAGATGCGCGTGCGCCAAAAGCGGGGCCGTCGGTGAGCTAATTAGGTATGACGGCTGATTGCCCTTCCCCCCCTAAATTGTGGCGCCAAGTTCCTCGAAAACCTTCCAGCTTCTCCAAATATATCTTCAAGGAACACTTCATCGCTGCATCGTGCGCAATTAATCTTAAAGTGGTTTGCGATATGGCCACTTGCTTGCAGAAACAACTTCGCAAAGTTACGCAACTCAGGCAGCCGCTGACGTACGCAGCATGTCAAAAGCTATTGCATGCTACCCTGTCCTCCTAACACCAGTAAACGGCACTCGAAAGACGAAGATGGGACTATGCAACGTCCGTTCGCAACTAGATCTAGACGATGCGTATTTCGAATAACGAGTTGTCGATGTTTTCTGACGAGCACGTTGATCTCCCAGGGTAGGGCAGGTTCTACGAACTCGACATCACTCTCCAGAATCTAAAATCCCTTCAACCACTTCATACGCCTCCTTGACCACGGCCCTGGTCTCTTCGTCCAATTTATCCTCGTCCGTGCTCAGATCCCACAGCCTCTTCTCCCACAACCCCCACCGCTCTGGAGTCAATCCATCTTGACTCGGCCACAGCTCTGTCTCGTCATCCAGTGGCACCGCAAAGTGCTCTCGTAGCTCCTCGTG